AAAATGTCATAAAAGTCAGGCGAATCAAAAATTCGTTTGCCTGCACTGTATAATTATTCTCCAGTCAAGGATATTTGGGGCAACTACAGTGGCAATTGCCTAAAATCAAAGTTACTTTGCTTAGTTCACAGAATAATATGCTACTATTACTTTGTAACTTTATCTTAGGATGCCAAACTAGAGCTTCTGTGAGCTATTTTGAATGGGTTTTCGTATGGGTTCCACTGCCTGGACTGCTCGTGTTTATTTGCGCAGGGTAACAATTTGAAATTTGGCTCAGGCTGCAATTTGGCGGCGTGTTTTGCATATTATCAGCTAATTTCGCCTTCGAGATAAGCACCCTTCCGCCTTAGTATAATTTATGCCCCAGCTCCAAATCGCCACTCTGCCTGGCCTCCTTGAGTGGCAACAATGAAATTGTTCGCCAGTTCTTTGTGCAACAAAAAAATATTTATGCAAATCGAGCTGCGCTTTCTCGCCGCCGCTCTAGCTCTCTAGCTCTTGCCATATTTTATTGCATTTTCAAATATAATTGCGCACCGAGCCGGGCATGAATATGGACATGGACATGGGCATGAGCATGGGCATGGTCATCGCAGTGGTATTTGGTATTCCGCTTGGAGCTGCTTTGCACCGGCGATTTAATCTCGTTTAATTGCTGCGACTAAGTGCGGATATGAGGGGTGCCGCGGCAGTGGCGGGGATGGTGGATTATAGTCAGCTGCCGGCGAATGAAATTGCATCAATGTCAAGCATGTGGAGCGGCTGCCGGCCACAAACAACAAAAAAAAACTGAGCCCGGGAACACGCCGAGTTGCACCAATTGATGGCCTGCTGCACACCTTGGACAGGTAGCATACCCCATTCCCCCTTATCACTTTTCTTGTTCTTGTACCTGGGTCCTGCCCAAAGATTTTCCGCATTAATATTGCAATTTTATGAAAACAAGAACATCGAATGAGTCGCGTCTCCCGGTCACCGTTTGCCGTTCGCAATTGCACCTGCCCATTTAGCGCACGCCGTGGCTAGTGACAAGTCATTTTGAATACTTCTCTCCGGAGTCCTGCGCGAAAGGGATACCTTCAAAGGATACTCGACGGATAATTGACTTTTAAGGGGACTTTTCTATACGCTTTAAAATTGGTTTCTTATTTTTTGAAAGAAAATGTTTATTAAGAAATATAGGTTTTTTAATATTAAATATTCTATATATCTTACGCTAAATAAAGAATAAACTTATTATTATATAATTTTTCATAAAAAATGCTTGTGAACTAATTTTTAAACTTAAAAAAAAATAATATAAACATATCAATCAATATAAACATTAAATCTAATTAAAAGTTCGACTATAATCTACATTTAGTATATTAACATATTGTAATTAACCCAACGGTTAACATGAACATTCAGTAATGTAATTTCATAATGTCTAAAACTTGATAATCACTATCTTATTTACCTTTAACCTTACATTTAGTCTACCTCTTCTAGAGAAAGGGTATTCATAGACCTGAAATAATTGCAATGTATTGCCAGAATGTTGTTAACGACTCTCCAGAACATACTTGGGCCTTTTGGCTCGGTTACGCGGCCTAGATCATGTTGCCAACAAAAAGTTGTGGTTGCTCAAAAAATTAATGACGTTATTTTCGCATTAGGAAGCAGCCATGACGCGGCCAGTCATGAGCATTTTGCGTAATTGCCGTAATTATTATGGTATTCATTTTTGGTACGTAGTACATAGTGATCTTGACAACCCTCGCAAGCCCTCGATCGATGCGATTAGCCCCGTCAAGTCAAGTCAAGATACGCGTCAGTGGCAGTGCCCCGAGGAGACTTTGGGCATTAAGTTCGGTCGGGTTCGGGTTGCAATTTCAAGAGCGATTATGCTAATTGACCCAGTAAGGAGTCCAGTTCCCTCCGACAGCCTGTCCCCCATATAATATCCAGCGACAGGGCACAATTTTATGCAATTAATGCCACAAATTCGGTGTACATTTTGCAGCCGAAATGAAAAACACACCCCGCTGTGGCGGCTACTGCTGCTGCTGCTCTATTTTTTTGGCCTGCAAATTTGCATGGCAACAAAATATGGACTACAATAAATATTTAAATTTTATTGGCCACACACCAACCCCCTCCACTGCTGTGGCACATCCATCAGCGGAATGGAGAGCCGGAGAAGCCAGTAGAGAAATAAAACTTAAAAGCGTTAAATTTACGAGGTACGGGCAAAGTGCTCGGACACATTTATGGCCCAAAACATGGCCGGGGCCGACTACGATTGGCTCAAAGTCTAGAGGGGATTCGTCGTTGGCTTAGGGAATCGCTTCCATTTCGCATGCGCGCGCATTTAAATTCACTTCCGTTTTCGCAGTGTCTGTGTGTGTGTGTGTGTGTGTGTGCTACCATAAATTCATAACTTTGTGGAAAATCATAAAAACAGAATTTATGGCTTAATTATATATGTACTCCCAGAAACAAAGGTGGAGCGGAGAGCGGGGAGCGAGGACTTAACACAGTTGGCCTCGTCTTGGCCATTTCTTTCTTTTTCTTCATTTCACGCCGATGATTAAGTGCAACACACACAGATACACACCCACACCAATGCCATCACACACACACACACACACACACATTGTGCCGTCGACGCGACTTTTCGCTTGCATTTATGCTTAAATGCGGCGCAATTGTTCCTAAAACGCTGCCAACCCGACACGCGATGATGGAAAACCTCAGCGATTTTCATTTGATTCTTGGCCAGACGTTTTCCGCTCATAACTCGCAATTACGTGCAGCATTTTCCTTTGTTTCTCTTTATTGATTTCCCTGCGCTGATGGCCAAAAAAAGAAATTGGGTTAAGCTGTTGTTTTTCCATTCGCAGCCAGTCCAGCACACGCGCCCCGATAGGCGATTCCCACGATTCCTCCACGGGAGCCAAGAAGGAGGAGGAGGAGGAGGAGGAGGCGGCGAAAAGGCGAAGCAGGACCCGCAGACAGCTTGTCTATAAAGTTCGAGAAGCGAGAATTCCTTGCATAAAGCCAATTAAATTAAGAAATCTGATGCAGTCCGGCGACAACAGTGGCAAACACCACTCATACGAAAAGGAGTCGAGAGTCGGAGGGCAGAAACGTGAATCACAGTGGAATCTCGCCCCCAGAGCTGCTCCTCCGTCGCTCCTGGCAATTGGTATTTTACAACAAACAGAGCCTGCGTTCAGCTTATTTAACATAAATCGAATGGCTACTGAAATACACCCAGGCCAGCCAGTCAGCCAGTGGTCTTATCTCTGACTTTGACTGGAGCTCTCGCGACTGGGATGTGCGCTGCACAAGGAGAAAAGTGGGGTCCTTTGGCTTTACCAGAGTTTAACATTAAGCATACGCCATGTGGGACGAGAGTGATTCAAATTTAATTGATATTAAATTTTAATGTTCTTAAACTTTCTTATCAATAAATATTTATTTATGATTATGATTTATATGAGAAGCCAATGGAAATGACTGCCTAAACAGTAAGGACTATGATGATAATTAATTTTCCTACAAAAATAAGTAAGTAAAAATCCCCTTTAAATTCTCTCTGTGTGTTCTTGTTGGAGGCTGAGCCAATTTCATTGAGTAAAGGCAAATGTAAAGGTAAAGCAAACGACCTTTAGAAAAATTGCAGAGGTCCAAGGAGTTGTTTGTGTCTTCTCAGACAAATCACGACCCGACGACGGAACCGGCCAGGCACCGAGGACATCCAGCCACAGATTTCACACCTCCTCCAACTCAAAACAGACCAACAAAAACTAAAAAAAAAAAGAAAAAAGAAAATAAGTAAGACGGACTGACCCAACTAATAAGAGTCAGCTACAGCTACAGCTACAGCACAACGGCAACATCGGGCGACAGCAACAACATGGCATAATAAATAAAAGCCAAGTAGCTCGGTGCTGCCTCGGAGTCTGGGTCTGCATCTGGGCCTGGTCTGGAGCCCGGAGTCAGGAGCAGAGTCTGCTGCGCTGGGCCCTGTGATTTTCACAAGTTGATATCGCAAACACAAAATGTTAATGAGCAATTTCGAGATGGTGCGAAGTGATTTCATTATTTAAACTTTTTTTTGTTGTCTTTTCTTCTTAGTTTTTGCCTTTTATTTCGTTGTCTTTGTCTCCGGTCTGGTCTGGGATTGGACGTGTTGTTGTGCTGCCGTTTCTCCTTCTTTTTTGGGCCTCGCTTAAGACTTTTATTACGGCTGCTGCTGCTGCTGCATTGGGTAATGAAAGCGAAATAATTTTAATTGGCACTGCCTGGCAGCAGCACTTTTATTTTTGGGCTCTCTCGATGCCAAATTAATTATTTCCTGTCAAATTAGTTTTGAGTTTGGGCATAAATTACGGCTACGCCGGTATGAATATGCATTGCACTCGGCTTTCCCCATTCCCCACTCTCCCCATTCCCATCTTTGCCCTGCAAAATGTCACCTGTCGTGCGCTGTCGCGTCGGGTTACTTCAAAAACACAGTTCCGCCGCATAAATTAAGGCCCGGCTACGTTGATTAATTGGGTCGCGTTTGATGATTAAAACATAAATTGCAATGGATGCAGAAAACTTGGCCATGGATACTAACTATGCATCGACTAAGTGCACTTTGTGACCAGGCAGGATCCATCGTCTTAGGGGTTGCCAGGCACTAAAATTACACTTAATTAAACAACGAGCCATTAGGGATCGGAATCCTCATCGACACGAAGTCCAGGGGTTGTAAGGAACTCTCAAAGAATTTTTAGAAGGGAAGGAAGTCTTGATGGAACCTTTATTATCGATCTGAATTAACAGGACATTATCCAACAGGCCAGGAAAGCGACTTAAGAATGTAATACTTCACGAAGCAGATGATATTTCAGAAAACTGCAAGGTTTACTGTACTATAAAATATTGTAATCTTCGAAGAATTGAAATACCAAAGGCATGCTCTTATCTGTCTTCCAAAAAATTACATCGAATCTATAAAATTTGACATTTCAACTGTTTAGCTACATCTCTCCCAGTTAACAAGCTTATTTAGTCAAAAATACAAACTGAATTTATTCTTACAAAAAATGTTACAATACCTTGTGGTTTTTGTCCTTTTTCTAAACAGCAATATCGCCAATGGAAACCTGTGCGTCACCAATGTGGTCGTGCGAATGCCCCACGAGAAGGACATTGGTCTGATCTTCGGTAAGGCAAGCTGTGATTCCCCTTGAGTCTCCTCGCTAACCAACTATCCACAGATCTGACCGTCATCAATAGCGTAAAGAATGAGAGAAGGGAAACGTTAGACTTTATGGTCAGCTCGGACGGAGAATGCACTGTGAACACCACGAAGGGGGAGCTTATCCCGTGTATGGGTCGCATCTTTGGCGGCAACTTTGGGGCCATCGAGCCTGGCAAGTCCGAAAGCGTGTCCCTGGTGTGGCCCACTGTGGTAAGGCCTTCCTTGGGGTGAATATCACTAAATGCGGCTGAAATATTCTTTCCTTAGTCCCTGTTTAACCGTGTGGGCAGTTGCCCCATCCAGCTCACTGCCACGAGTGCCCAGGATACTATAGCCTCAACGAAGCAGCTGCTCCACTTCGACACTCGCTTTGAGACCCTCGATCCAAGCGGACACACGCTGCGTAAGCGAAAGGATTTCATGGACTGCCGGAACTGGGACAAGGACTACTTTCACAACTGCACGCCGCTGAACTGCGAGGAGCGGTACTTTGGCCAGCGAAACTTCTACAACCAGGCCACGGAGCAGTGCGAGCGGGTGCACTCCAGCTCGCGACCTGGCGAGTTCTACGACATCTACAGCAACGAGGCAATCGATCGAAATAACTTTGTGACGGAGAAGGAGCTCGAGGAGATCAAGCAAGGCAAGTTTGATTCGAATTATCTGGATCTGCAAGGACCTCCTATGGTGAGTGGTGTTTTCTATTCTTATATTATGGTAGGGATGTGTTACTTTATAAAAATCCAAATTAAGAATATATAGCGTAAAAAAGGTAGAGCTGAAAATAATAAAATATACACTGATAAAAAAAATTCTTTTAAGATTTTATGCATTCTTAAATTAAAATCTAAGACCAAAAATTCTACAAAGGTGATTTTTCATGTTTTATTAAAGAACAATAAAAACCTTGATTTTAGAATATTAATATTCTTAAAAATAGAGCTTAAATTAATACCAAATATTCTTAAAAGAAGACCGAAAAAACCTTGCGCTACTTTCGTACCGAATGGTCACGATTTTATGACCAAAATTCTTGTTTTTTTTATCAGTGTATGCTTTTTACACAGTTTGACACCGCATTATATTTGACACCGCGCCACCTTGTGGCTATATCGTGGAACCATGCAATCACTGCTTGCTTCGTTTGAGCAAGCAGGGTGCTTTAGTATGGCAAATGACGCAACATGAAAACATGGCGCCGTGGCTTAGTTGGTTAAAGCGCCTGTCTAGTAAACAGGAGATCGTGAGTTCGAATCTCGCCGGGGCCTATGGAATACGATTAGAGTAATTCCTGCAAGTCTTTTTTTTTATTTTATTATTTATTTTTTTTTAATATTCTATATATTTTTAAAATACACTTCCTTTTAGTTTTTGTAGGATGTTTCTATGCGTGGCTAGTTGATTGCTCTGGTGGATAGGCTTTTCTAAATAATATTACCATAAATGAATACTGTAAAACTTGATTTTGAGAAAGCTTAAGCCTGGTAATAATAACAGTATCTTTATTTCTCCGTTCTGCTTGCAACAGGAGGAGCAACTGCATCCCAAAACAATGACTAGCCACCGCAGGGAAAAGAGCAATCAACTAGCCGCCCCATCACCCCACTTAACCCGTCTCACACCTTCGAAGAGTTGCGACAAAACCCATATAGTTACTATGGCTGATTTCAAGTTTTGCTTTCAGAGCTTAATGGATGAACAAAAAGAAAATGTCATGGAGAAGAAGCTCCGAAAAAAGTCCCCACTCGAAATATCCATGTTGACCCAGCTCTACTACGATTGGTATCTGCCCTTGAGGACCGAGAACCTTGACGGATTCAGTGAAATCGAAGGTGGGGCCACTACTAATCCGGAAGGTGTCGCCTCTTCATCGGAGCCCCTGGTTAACTGGCCAAGCAAGCTCGACAGCAGCGGCTTGCTAATGCTGATCCTGAAGGGGATCGCCATTGTGAGTTTAAGATGCTGGGAAACGAAAATAGTGAATTGATGCTAGATCTTGCAGATCTTATCGCTAATTATGTTTCAGATTCTCGTGACTCTGACGGGCTATTTTGTGGTGTGCCTCTCCGTCTACGGATTCATCGAGTTGTACAGCTTGTGGAAGACCAAGGATCAAGCGGAGTCCTTGTTTGGGGGTGACTCAATCTCGCACAGTAGCCAGACAGAGGTTTTTACCACCGAGAGTCTGATGTCCCACCGATAAGTGGATTTTTTTTAAACATAAATTTAGTTAATTGTTGTTGTTTAATTTTATTTCCAATTTCGATTTTAAAATAAATGTAGTTACCTTAGCGTTGCCAGACTTTCATTCGTTTTCAGCCCTATTATTATTTCGTAGGAAAATGTGACTTTTCACTAAAAACAAAACGTCGGAAAACCCTCAAAAATTATTTAAATCGTTTTTAATCTACCGTTGTAGCGTTCCAATTGGAAAATTATACCATACAATGGCGTTTAGTAACTTTGATTAGTCACGCAGCCGGTCACACTGGCCACTAGTCAAATCGGACGAAATTAGCTTTTGTTTATTTCATTTAATTCAGAAAGCTTGTCGACGCCAGCATGGATCCCGAGGAGGAGCCGGTCTTCCGCAACTTTCAGGGCCTGAAGGCCCGCAAGTTCGACGACGAGAAGGTGTCCACGACCACGTCCCGCGAGCAGGTGAGTAAACCCGGTCGGGCGGAGCGGCTGAATCACACAGATAAGAACCAGTGGCCTTGCAGCAAAAAACGGAGGCCTCGGTGGAGAAGTGTTTCGACCGCTATGACGAGCTGGTGTTCACCAACCCGCGCCTCAGCCAGATCTTTCGCCTGGAGCACCAGTACTACTTGGACGCGATGCTGCGCCGGCTGCCCTCCAACTACGAGTGCCTGGATAGCAGTCGACCCTGGTGCATTTACTGGATCCTGCAGGCGGCGCAGCTTCTTAGCTTCACTTTCGACGACCAGACGCTCGACCACGTGGTGCAGTTTCTCAGCAAGTGAGTTGTAGACGCATACACCACTCCATCGTCCTACTAACCTCTCATCTCTGCTTTAACGCACAGGTGCCGCGCTCCCACAGGAGGCTTTGGCGGTGGACCCGGCCAGTACGCTCACCTGGCTCCCACGTACGCGGCAGTAAACAGCCTGTGCATCATCGGAACTCAGGAGGCGTACCGTGCCATTGATCGCCCCACGCTGGTTCAGTTTCTGTTCAGTGTGCGTGACTCGGACGGCTCCTATCGGTTGCACGTGGACGGCGAGACGGACGTTCGCGGCGCCTACTGCGCCATATCCTGCGCCAAGCTGCTAAACCTGCCCGAGCCTGTGATCCGCGAGCTATTCGCCGGCACCGGCGACTGGATTGCCAAGTGCCAGACGTATGAGGGCGGCTTTGGCGGTGCCCCTGACCTGGAGGCCCACGGGGGCTATACCTTTTGCGGCATCGCTGGTCTGGCGCTGCTCAACGAGGCGGACAAGTGCGACCGGCAGGCGCTGCTCCAGTGGACGTTGCGCCGTCAGATGAGCTACGAGGGTGGCTTCCAGGGACGCACCAACAAGCTGGTCGACGGCTGCTACTCCTTCTGGGTGGGCGCCACCATACCCATCGCACAGGCCACCCTCTCGGGAGACGATAAAGAGATGGAGCACACCCTGTTCGACGTGGGAGCCTTGCAAGAGTACATCTTGATCTGTTGTCAGAAGCAGAACGGAGGGCTCATCGACAAGCCCGGCAAGTGAGTGATGTCTACATCTGCCTACGGCTCCAGTTAGCAATCAAAATCCATTTTCAGACCCCAAGATCTCTACCATACATGTTATACTTTGAGCGGAGTCTCCATTGCCCAGCATTCAGAGTCCGCCAGCTGCCCGCAAGTCATGGGCGACACCATCAACGAGCTGCTGCCCACCCACCCGCTGTTCAACATCCCACCAAAGTCAGTTGCAGCTGCTAGAAGCCACTTCAGCAATTCCAACGACACCGAGTTCGTCGTCAGCGACGCTGACATAAAGGCGGAGAAGAAGCAGGACAGCTAGGACGTCATGCAACAGGTGGATGCGGATAGGGGTATCTTTGCACTGAGACAATGATTTACACTACACATTTTACGAACTACAATTGCTTTAATAAAAATATCTTTGAACTGTACCATTGGATTGCTTTTTTTTATACCACAAAAGTTATTTTATAAAAATAATAAATAGTTCATGAGAATAATCTTAATTATGAGGGAGGGGATTTAATTACGTTAAATTTGTCAAAAATAGCAACAAAAAATAAATGAATTTTCAAAAATGGTACAATGAAACAGAAAATCAGAATATAAATAAATAAATTTAAATTAAGAAAAACAAAAAACATCGTAGTATCGATAGTCCGACGATAATATTCCATCCCTTGTACCCGCACAATTGAAATAAAAAAAAAAACTCAATTTAAGAGTTTAAAAACCGAAATGTCCGGGTTTTTCCATTGATATGTTCTCTAGCCACCGACACCTGAAGCGGCGGACACCAGCGCAGGGCATAGACCGGCGGGAATACATCGGGCACCTGGTTGAGGAGTTCCACACGACGACCAACATCGGTAACACGTCTATTTGTTGTCATTGTGGCTATCATCTGATTTGTATCTTCTTCCAGAGGCTCAGGAGCAGGTGACTGCGAATTTGGCCAATTTCGCCTACGACCCCATAAACTGGCCCTATCTACTCGAGGCTGACGCACTGGACGTTTTCGTGGCATCGCTGGAGTCGCAGGACCAGCACTTGAAGCTACACGGCATTGCAGCATTGTGTAACATCTGTTTGGGTACGAAATCCACCTCTAAATAAAGTCTTTTTACAATGAATTCCATCTTCTTGCAGACAAAAGTGCGGCTAAATTCATTAGGGAGCACCTGAATCTCCTCATCGGTCTTTTTGTGCGCACGGACCACCCGGAAATAGTGCTCCATAGCCTAGCGCTCTTCTACCAGCTTCTGGAGGGCGGCCAGGTGGACAGAGAGTTGCTGCTGACCCCTTCGTTGCTGCGGACCGTGCAGGAGTGGCGGCTAAAGGCCCAGGACCAACGCATCGTCAAGCTGTGCCAACTGTTGCTGGAGGACTTCGCCCGCCGCACCGAAATAATCGAGTTGCAGAATGCTCCGCCAGCTTTGCCGGCGGCTGAGCAGCCGAGCACCAGTCGCCCCGCAGCAGGTTCAAGTTGTTAAGCGATTCTCACAAAGCGACCTAGAGCAGTTTGCCCAGTTTACTGGCGATCACAACTACATCCACAGTCTGGACACACCCGTCGAGGAGCGGCGTGTGCATGGAGCACTGCTCAATGCCGTGGTGGCGGGCATAATCGGCACCAAGCTGCCGGGACCCGGCACCGTCGTACTGGAGCAAAACTTTCGCTTCCTGAAGCCCTGCCGCATCGAGACGGACACGGTGGTGACAGTACGCCTTCTGGAGGCGCGTAAAATAGCCACCGTGGAGTACGACTGCCGGCAGAACGACGAGGTGGTGTTCGCCGGCAGAGCCAAGTTACTGACCCGCAGCCAAACAGACTAGAGTTAGTTAAATAAAAAGACTACTTTGTATTTCTCGTACGACTACTTCTTTGTAGCCCGCTTGCCCTCGCCCTTCTTGGGCGGCGCCTTGCCCCTCAGCTTGCGCAGCCGCTTCATCTCGTCCTTAAAGTCCAAGTGCTCGTCACGGAACAGGCCGTAGTCGCGCAGGTTCTTCATCAGTAGATGCGTCTCCACGTGGCGGGGGTACCAGTTGACCACATAGTCGCGCTTGTGTATGGGCTCCTCGGAGAACATGCGAACCACCTGCAAGAAGGAAACCGGAAGCCTATTGCAAGCGTTCAGTAAACGAGATGTGAGGACAAACCTTCATGGATTTCTCGTTCGTGGTGCGGGCAACTTCGCCGAAAATGCGATTCGAGAGGTAATTCATGCGTCGGGCATACTGCGTGCCGAGCTTGATCAGCTCCGTGTATTTGTGGGACATGTTGACACAACAATTTCTGTCCCTATAGGTATTTTTTAATAAAACAATGACTAAATTTATAGTTTTTAGTGAATTGCGGTTATGTCACGAAACAAAAACAAGCGACAGCTGGTGGCCAGGGCTGCCAACTGCTTAGAGGCTGCGGATAGGTATGCCAACCTAGCCGGAAATCGTTACTTTTAAAAACGAAGATTCAAATCTGCAATATATTTTATTTTTCTTGAAAATAAAGTAAAACAAGAAAAGGAAGCTAATTTCAGCCAATTCCGACATATATAGTAGTGAGAACATACAGAAAACTATCTTATAAGCTTCATGGGAATCAACACAATGTTAAATTTTTATTTTTATTAATAATGGTGTACATAAATTTCAAGTATTTACTTAAAATCGTCAAATAAACTTTTATTTAAAATCATAATCTAAATAGAGTATGTACCACCGTATTAGTTAATTGGAATAACAAAACGTTAGCAACAATCTAAGCATAAATGTCACCTCCACTTGTAATACTAAAATTTCTATACTAACTTAGACCGTCTCAATAGCCCCCCGTCGTCTACTATCCGACCCGCCGCCAGTGGAATCGCCGCCGTCGCTACCGATGAACGATGTCTCCTCAGAGCTCTGTACCGGCAGCACTTCCCGGGCCATGGTCACTCCGTTGAGTTGGCTCAGCAGGGCGTTTGTGCCAGCCATCAGGGCTGGTTCGCGGGGCGATCCGCTATGCCCGGATATCGATATCTGGTCGTAGTGGAGCACCCGGCTGGGCGTGTGCGATCGGGAGGAGGGCGACGGGTTGCCACGCGAGTGCGGGCTGTTGGTGCGCGAATGCTGGAAGTCCTCCAGGGGGATCTCCTCTGACCTATAATGTAAAAAATAATAATTAAAAACGTATTTCATTTGTTTTTAAATAAAGAATAAGGGAAAATCTTGGGGGAATTCTCAAAATTAAAAACAACAACCTCTGATGGGACATACAAATGACTAAAAACTTGATCTTGTTACCGCGGCCTTGGCATCCTGGGACTGCTCTCCCGTGATCGTGTGCCGGCACTTCTGGGCTGGGAGTTCTCCCGCGACTGCGAGGAACTATGACTGCCGACACTAACACTGGGCGATCGCTCACGATCCGAGTGATCTGCCCTCAGATTCGAGCCCGATGTATTACTGGGACTGCGCCGGCGGGAGCGACCTGCGCTTTCATTCCGAATGCTGCATGTGAACACACAAATGAGCTCCTCTTCCAATATCCCTTGACGCACACAAACACTTACCCCTCGATGGAGCGATTCTGGGCCATTTGGGTGCGACTAACACCGGCACTGTTATTGCCCCGTAGCACAGCAGCAAATCCGGGCACACGGTTAGCCGTCGAGAACATGGGCCGATGGTGACCACTGCGCGAGCTGCTGCCACTGCTGTTGCCACTGCCGGTAGGCGTTGCCGTTGTGCCGCCCACAGCGTACACCGGCGAGTCCATCTGGCCGGGGATCTCGATTAGCTGTGCAATCTGATACATCTTCTTCTGGCGCGCCTTGCTGCGACCCTTGGTCAGCCGCTGTTTGGCGGCCATGCAACGGATGTGGTCGTCGAACAGGAACTTTGCCGAGAGTAACGGCGTCCGGTTGTGGGTGACGCCGCCACGATGCACAGTTATGTGCAAGCAGCGCGAATCATCCTTGTCGCCCTGCACCTCTACGTCCTGCAGGAAGCCGACGAACTTTGCGACTCCCCAGCCCAGCAGCTTGGCATCGGGCTCAACGAGGATCAACTGCAGGGCGTCGATGACCAGGAAACGCCTCTGCTTGCTGCTGTCCTTGGCCACCACGGTACATGCAATCAGGTCGCTATTGTCTAATGCATCAAAAAGAGTTCAAGTCACAGCACAGTCGCATACCCAGACGAGTGTACTTACTTAGATCCAGCACATTCTCCACCTGCACCAGATTGACGACGTTCGTCAGCGGCAGCAGAGATTCCTTCTCGTTCAAAAACTTTTGGCACGTGCGGCGCAAGAGAAAGTAGACGCGAATGGCTCTGCGAGCCTTCTCTACTTCGCCGCAGGGCAGGCGGCGGGTGAAGCTGATTCCCGTGAGGGGCGTGCCCGTGGGAGGCAGTAAGATGGCAGAGTCCATGCACAAGAACTCCACGTTCAGCTGCGCCTTCCGCATCTCATTGTACTCGTCTTCAAAGAGATCCAGAAAGATGTCCTCTGACTTGTAGAAGTTGCGGAGAACCGCCATGGACTGGTTTCGGGCGCTAAAGAGCAGATCCTGCTGGGCGGGGGTAATGCAGCGCGCCTCATCCGAGTTGGGTCGGGTGAAGGTGACCAGCAGCTCCAGGGCAATCTCAACGGTTATCAGGCGGATGCGGCAGGCTAAATGAAACATATATTTAAATAACATTCTCAGGGTGGTGGACTTGCACTTACAAGGCTGGCTGGACTGTGTTATGATGTCCAGCAGATGCTCAATCAAGGCTGTCTTGTAGCTGAAGGAGCCACGGGTGGACTTGGCCAGAACCAGCTCGAACCACTCGTTCTTGACACCTGCACAATGGAAGAGGATAATGCATGGATTTAGTAAGCTCAAGGAACAGCTGCCTGTGAGAGTGGATTAGTTCGGCGAATGGACAAGAGTTACATACCATCTGAACGGGATGACAAGTTCGTGACACAGAGAAAGCAATTAGAATGGAGCACGAATGAAGGAGTGATCAGAGCAAGGGAAATTACATAGCATTAGCCCAAAGACAGAGAAGCATGTGAAAGAATATAAAATATAACGAATTTAGACTCACCCCGATTGTGTGACATGGCGTAGATGAGACACAGCGACAGCAGGGCAAGGTAATCGTTCTCGGTGCAGTCCAAGGCCTGCAGGACTGTGTCCAAAAACGGCTTGGCCATGTCACCGAAGTCAGCCTTAGCCGAGGAAGAAGACTTCTGCAGCTGCAACTGTTTCTCTTCGTCCGTTATGTTTTGCAGCAGCTTTGTCTCCGCTGATTCCGCTTCATCCACCAACAGTTCTGGTTCCGTGGCGGCCGGCGACGATGACTCCACGCCGCTGTCCTCGCTCAGAGCATAGCTAGAGGCACTCGACTGCCCAGTGACCGTGTCCAGCGCCTGCTCTAGACTCTCGTTCGGCTCACCGAATCCCGGCACAACCACCTTGCGGTGCTCCACATACGAATTGAGAATCTCGGCCGCGCCCTCCTTAAACACACTGTGGTCACCGTTAAGAATGACCCAGGCTAAAGCGTGCACCAGCGGGGCATGGGAGACGACCAGAAAGACCAGAGAAAGGAGGAACAGAGCCACGATTGAGCTCACGCGCGGATTGTGCATCTCCTGTATATCAATGTCCACGTTCCGATTGAGCACGGCAGCCAGATTCTGGGTGACCACTGCCAGCGAGGGCGGCGGAGGGGCTGGCGTCAAAGAGAAAATGTACAGGGGCACAAACAGCTTATGCAGCAAATGCTCCGTGAGCACCGCGTTCAGGTCCTTGATGTCCAGAAGTAAAATGTCACTCAAATAGTGCAAGTGATCCAGGTGCTCGGCCACCAGATTGGACAGCTTCTGGTTCGACTGGTGGCTAAAGGAGGGTACAAATGACAATGATAAGCAGGCTAGATTAGGTTTAGGAATCTTACTCTATATCTGTGCGCACGCAGGTGTCTAGTTCCAGGATATGCTTGCCAATAAACCAAACCAGATTACTGAAGTAGGGAGCAGCCGTTCTGGGGGAGGTAATGGTAATTAAATTAATTAAATCTAGGATCTGTATATATATATATACTTGTCTCTGATGAAACGCAGCATGCTGGAGTTCTGGACTTTGTAGACATTTAAGGAAATAGTTCGCACGGCAATCCTCACCATGGATTCGGGATGGTTGAAGAACTTTATGGCCTCCGTGTACAAAGGGAAGTCATTTGTGTGCTTTAAAAGAAACAATAAAAATATGTTAGGGATACTTCCGTGACGTCTTCAAAGCCCAACCAACCTCATTGTAGAAGAAGTGAATTGTGTGGGTGTTCAGCTTCAGACTGAGCGTCTTCAGGAAGAGAATGTAGTAGCCCATCACATCCTCGTCGGAGAAGTCAAACTTGTGCACCATAATGGAGTTGACATGGTTATTGCTCAGCAGATAATCTGCAAGTAGAAAAATGAAGTTAATAACCAGCCAACAGTCAGAACGGATGTCGAACTAACACAGCGAGGTCTCGTTGCGTATGTTCTCAAAGAGAATGTTGAGCGTCTGCAGCAGCTGCACGCACACAAAGCTGGAGCCGCCGCTCTTCTGCCGCATAATGTGCAGGAAGTAAGATAGCATGTTCTTCTCCAGAAAGAAGCTGTTGGAGGGGAAAATCAGTTTGTTAAAAGAGGTTTTGCGATATGGGACTTCAAGTCACTCACTCGAAGACCAGAGAGTCGTGCTGGTCGCCCCAAATGAGGATCTCAGCAATGCAGCGCAGCGACTCCACCAGCAGGCCACGGTTGCTCTCCGAGACGGTGGTGTTCTTCTCCAAAATGCTGTACAGGTACTTGAGGTGTTCCAGTGAGAGGCGGTTCTTGGGCCGCCCGCCCCAGGGACCGCCGAACCAGCTGCGACTCCGGAACATGCTGGACGACGCGACTGGACGACTGGAATCAACTGGCCACGCTCCACCTGGCTGTTTTCATATCACTCTGCTGGGGTTTGTGCGGGTTCGCTGTTTTCGTGAATCTTTGCATGCACCTTGAATGGATTGCATGAAACCACTGGAAGGGACCGCGAAGTCGGGGGAGGCGTCTGGAGGCTGCGATTCCACGATTTATGTTTTGTAATTTGGCAAATTGCGATTTTTCCAACCGCTCTTCTTCTTCACGGACAACACAAGTGTAATAAGTCAGCTGTTGCTTCGATTCGTGTGTATCGTTATCGTTATCGAAGGCAGCAGAGATGAGCGGCTGGAAAGCTTAATTTTTTTTAATTTTTAAATAAAATATTAATATTCATTAAAATAATAATACAATAAAAAAAAAAATAACTCAAATTAACATTAATTTTATGATGTAATATTTTTTTTATCCATCCAATAACTATAATTTTTATTTTAAAAAATCTTTCTTCGGAACAACTTTATTTCCTCACCCTCACACTCACAACAGAACTATGTATATCCACTAGCTAGGTTTTTGGTTAAAATTTATGGAATAGGAGCCCGTGTTTGGATCCTGTTGCATTTGGAAGTTCTGTGTGGACAGGCCAAAGGGTTTCAGTATCATGTTGCCCAGGTCTTTTAGACTGGACATCATCTCGTTCTTGAGCTTCTCGTTGCGCTCGTTGATGATGGGTGGCAGGCGAACCTGTGCCTCGCGAGCCTCCGGCTGTCCAGGATCCAGTTCGGTGACGCGTTTGTAGTCTGTCAGAGCCTCGTCGGGCTTGTCGTCCTGCTCGTAGAGCTTGGCCCGCCTGCAGGAGGATATAATAAGTTAGATCCATTCGTAATCATAGGAAACCGGCAAAAACTCACCGTAGGAGCACGCGGACATACTCTGGCCACAGTTCGATGGCCTTTGTGCAGTCGTCGATGGCCGCCTTGTTGGCATCCAGCTTTATCTTGGCAGCTGCTCTGTTCCCGTAAAGCACGGCCCGCTCCTTGGTGCTGTCCGAAGGACAGATGTCTAGCGCCTCTGTGTAGATCTTGGCGGCGCCCACGGCGTCGTCGTTCTTGAACCGCTCGTTGGCCTCCAGCTTGAGTTTGTCAGCCTTCTCCTTGTTTGCCGCCAGCTCCTCATTGCTAAGATTCTTCTCCAGTTCGCGCAGCTCCTCGATGGACATCTCGGAGTCTGGCTGCTTCACCAGGACATCTCCGCCAGCCGCACCTTCTTCCGCTTCGTCATCTAACCTCAGCTGGTTGTGCTTCTCCACGACTTCGTCCACGTCCTTCTCGCTAAGTCGTGTGTTGGTGGCCTCCTTCTCGGTGATCTCCTCGCCGAGGGCATCCTGGAACTCGTCGTCACTGTTGGCGGTGCCTGCCATTTCTGTTGCTAAGTTAAATCCTATTAAAATCTATTGGAAATTTCGAGTTGGGCAGCAACAAATTGTATTTCTCATGCTTTTCGATAGCCCAGTCTATCGATAACAACCCGCCGCCGAGATAAGTTTAGTGTATTGTCACGGAAAAAGTTATATTTTGGCGCTCAGGCTGCTGCCACTCTACATATCATGGTCGACACCGGTTCTCCCCATCCGGATAAAACGGACATTGAGGCGTATATTCTGAGTGAATACATACCAGCCAAGCCGCTGAGCAGTAACCTGGAGGTGTCCTTCACCGGCGAAGAGCAGGTGAGTGTGGCGAAACTCTGTGAAATGTATTTAATCGCTGGCATTTGTAGGCATCCAGCGAAACATGTGCCCAACTAAGATGCGGCGATTTCTTGAAGTTCCCGTTCGCCCGCTCGGACTCCCATCGTCCAACGCCCGCGGCGATAAAAGGGAGCAAGGTGCTCGTGGCCGCCGACAAGGCCACTGGAACGAAGCGCGTGGTGGAGCTGGTACTAGAATCCTCATTTGACTACCAACCCGGAGACACCATTGCCGTTGTGCCTAGCAACAGTCCAGAGGTGGTGGATGCTCTGCTCACTCGGCTGAACCTAAAGGACAAGGCTGACGCCATATTCAACCTAAAGCTGGTCCTTAACTGCGCCAAAAAGAACGCCAAGGTTCCCGCCCACATTCCGCCAACGACAACTCCGCGGGAAATCCTTACCCACTGCCTGGCCCTCGGAAGCGTTCCACAGAAGCAGTTCCTCAGTGCCCTGGCTGGTTTTACCAGCAACGATCGGGAGCGCAGCTTTCTGGCCGGTCTGTCCTCAAAGCAGGCAACCGACCACTACAATTCCCTCATTCTGGAACAAGGTTTAAGCTTCTCGGACATTCTCGACCTCTGCGCCAGCTGTAAGCCAACGCTGGCCTTCCTGGCGGAGCATCTGCCACGTCTGATGCCACGGCCCTATTCTATAGCCAATTCCCCTTTGGATAGTGGTGTTCAGGAGCTCCGTATCATTTACTCCCAGCTCAGTCACAAGCCCGGAGTAACAACCAGCATGTTGGAAGCCAAAGTTCAGCAAGCTGATAAGCAACCCGCCAAAGTTGTCATCTACCCTCGGCTGAGCAACTCATTCCGCTACACAGAGCAGGATCTCTCCAGCAACCAAATACTCATAGCCGTGGGAACTGGTCTGGCCCCCTTCCTAGGCTTCCTGGAACACAAGGAACAAGTTCTGAAGCAGCAGCTCCATCAGGACAGAGGCCAGTCCTGGCTGTACGTGGGTGCCAAGACACAAGAGGCATTACTGAAGAGAGATCAGCTGCTGGCCTGGCAGCAATCCACGGTGCTGTCGCGATTGCGCACTTGTTATTCGCGTGGGGATGTCCCCTGCTATGTCCAAACGCTTTTGGAGGAAGACGCCGATGAGCTAGTAGAGCTCCTGCTGAAGCCGGAAACTGTGCTCTATGTCTGCGCCGATGGGGCTAAGATATCACAGTCCATTGCCAATGGCTTGGGTGTATGCCTCCAAAAGGCGCTTCATCTCAATGAGGAGGAGGCCTTGCGCCGCCTAAAGGAACTGAAGACGCAGGGCAAATACCGTGAGGATGTGTGGCTGTAGAAGACTCTCTTAATGTTTTTATATTTTAATCTTTACGTAAACTAGTATCTTTTATTTGGGACGCTTGAAGTTGATATATAATAGTTTTTATATCTTTCATAAGAGAATTCAAACCCAGTCCTGTAAAGAGTTCGATAGTTTTTTATTATTTTCGAAAAGCCAAATTTCTCCACTTCCATCTGGAAAATATTTAATGATTTGTTTCCCTTGCCAACATTGAAACTGCAGCTGTAAAAGTAAATATTTACCCCACAAAATCATCATCCAGTTGCTTTGGTCGAATAAGTAAATAACGATATATTTAACAACACAAAATAAAAATACAGTGCAAGCTAAAACTAAATACATACAATCGTGAGGGATAATCATCAGTATAATCGCAGTGGATGGATGGGGACGAATACAAGAACTAAATGGGGCTTTTGGGTATACTTAAGTGATAAAATTGCAAAATAAATCTAAATAATGGTATAATATAAGTAGTACGATTACGACTTAGGTTTCCAAGCAAAAGAATACATGTGCATCATAATACATAAATATAAAACTGATGGTGGAATTTGCTCATTGAATTTAAAATGTTTCGACCGTTAAAGCGCTAAGGGGTATTGTAATTGTTCCTCCTTCTAAATATGGATATCCCGTATTCATTATCATACTCATACTCATACTGTTTACGTTTATTTTGGCAAGTCGGGTCTTGACCTTGCATATTAATTAATATGCATTTTGTATTTTAACTACGTTTAAGTTGGTTTAATTGAAATAGCGCCAATTCTTGTTGTGTTGTATATTAATATATATAATTACGAATCGATCAAAATTGATGTCAGCTTCTTTTCTCCTCGCTCTCCTTTACAATTTGCAATAAAAGTTGCGTATAAAAAATTATGCTACCATTTGTTGTTCTTTGTTTCTTGTTTGAAGACTTAAGTTTCAATTAAATGTACGTTATTAATTGCAATATTTGCGTTCGTCCTAAATGCTTGTCTGCGAATATGTAAGATCGGGTATGTCTCTGTTCCAAAAACCCTCCTCTACTGCTCATGGAATATCCATCTCCGTTCGTTGCCTTGCCTAATACTCATTTACTCATTTAAGCTAAACTAAGAAAATCAAGTAAATTTTCGATTAATTAATAAGCTCATTGAAAATTATGAATGCACAATTATAATTGTAGGCCAAAAAATGGGATCTCGTATCGTATCGTATATATAAAATTTAACTATGAACCGATCTGCAGCAGCAGCAGCAGCAATCGATTGGCTACTAATATCAGAATCGCAAGTAAAAGATAATCCCTATCGGTCGTACAACGCGTGTATATGTATATAACAAGAAAGGAAGCCCAACAGCTCCTAGGCCCTTCTTCGTTGTGTTTCAATAGAATAACTCCTCCCAAGAGTTGGCGACTAGCTAAAGATTTTGTTCGGATAAATCTACTGTGGTGGGAAATAGCATCGAACAAATTGAACTAAACACAAACAGAGGGACAACTATTTGGGATTTCTGCCAAAAGATAAGAACTGTTTTGGCTAAGGCTATGCTAGGTTGTTCATTAATTCCTTTTCAAGACTTTCTTCTTATTTTTCCTTCGTTTTTGGCATTGCTCGTATTTCCCCTTCCGTTGGGACTAGGTTTAGTGTACGCATACCACCGCTATATATGCATATGTATAAACTCCCTTTAAGGATATTCTTTGATTCCTTTAAACTTTCTGTTTGACACAAGCGTTACATAGTATCTCTATTATGATAGGGTTCTCTGTGCGTCGTATGGCAGATACGAGGGGCGGAAGGAAGGACAAGGAAGTCTGCCCTTTAAATATGTTCTTTTGCGTTGCGTTTTCGTTAGTCTTACGTTTGTACTAATTAAAATGGAATATCAAACATTGTTTTCGTTATCAGCTAATATACATGCTCCGGCTTGGCGTCTAATTAGTTATCTGTCTGATTTAGTGATATCCGTATTTGACGGGAAATACAATTAAACTGTGGAGATAATTTCGTTGCTGTGTGTCGCTTGCTGCTGCCTAGCTCTCTCTAGTCCTAATGGCACTTGTTACACTCGCTTCCACTTGCTACATTTATCGCCTTTTTGGTAATTTACAACAAGTATTGCATGTTCTCTGCTCTTTTGGGGTTCGTTTTTCTTTGCGCTTATTGACTATACGACGAATTTATGTAGAATTGCATAATGCAGATTTGATAAAATCGCTTAAATCACAATTATGTATATATATATACGGGTATATAAAGAGTAATCCAACTTATGTCCCTACAGTTAATAATACAGTACTACAGTATCTATATGTATATCATATGTGCGTGCTTGTGTGCGTGGTCGGTCGGTCGTTCACATACATTTTCGCAATGTACGAAGTAAGCTAATTTTGCCATAGGACAATATCTAATCTAAGCGATAACCCCCACCCCGTCAACGTCTTTAGCGATGCGGAATGGATCCCAGTTGGTATGGCTTCCAAGTCCTCGGGATTTTGTATTTCTTTGCTGTCTTGCCGCTCCTCTCGCTGACGCTGTCACGTGCTGAAAAGAAGATGAAAAGAAATAGTCAGTCAATATTGGCATCCAGGTCAAATGCTGCACTGCAGCCATGGAGAGGGGTCTGTAAAGAGGGCGGGGATCGTGGCGGTTAGGAAAGGCAAACACAATTGGCGCATAATTAACACTTTGACCTTTAATAATTGCCAACACAGTGAAATAAACGTTTTTACTTAAAAGCCAGTACAGTGATGGACAGAAAAATAGGTAAACATTAAGAGATTTGGCTAATTTTTGTGAAATTTCCAATTCAAATATAAGACACATAAAATATGAGAAATGAATTCTTATTTTCTATATTTCAAAGTAATTTATTCAGAATTGATCTTTTTAAATGAACACATACTTTTATTACAAACTAAAATGGTGTTTAAATTGTTTTATAACATGCCTCATACATGACGCATTTTCAAATTAAAAAATAAATATAGTTTTCTCTTTTTAAGTTAAATGATTAAGTGGAATTTAGAATAAAAAAAAGGGATTATAAAGCAATGACTAAACCTAGCTTAAAAATATCCAGTCCCAGTCCACCTAATAATTTGGCCTAGACTGTAATAGTGTGCTTAAAAACAAACACAATTTTAGGGGGTTCGCGCAAGGCAAAGTGAATTAATCATACAACTGTTTCGTTATCGACGCAGGCTTTTCTTATCAGCGCTCTTGATACTGCCAGCTGATTAGGTTCCGGCAAGCAGCCGTTAAATATAGACCGATACACACTCACGGCAGGTGAGCCTTGGGGGTTCGGTTCGTATACAGCAAGGGTTGAGGTCACATGGAGTACGCAATAATATTTATGATGCACTATCATTAGCTTTGTACGGGTTTCTGCATAATTTTTTTTGGCATAGGGTTGACGTTAAGCTCTCGCTCTCTTTGCCTCTCCGTCATTAGCAAGTGCGCGGCATATAAATCAGTTTATTCTCAGCTTTGGATGTTGTTGTGCCATGGGAGAGCGGAGCGCGTCAATTATCAGCACAATAATTGTTTATATTTATCAGCATGTGAAGCGGCCACCCGCTCGAAAGTCACGCTTGAATTTCAATGAAACTCTGGGCTGGCATTCACATTCAGATACCCAGTTTTCCCTCACAATTTTCCATCGACAAAAATACAGAATCGAGAAGAACCGTTAGGCTGGCTGGCAGGCAAATGAAAGCGCGCTCCAGATGCGGAGAGTGCCGAAAGAAGTTCACTGGTGGCTCGGTGGATTGTGCATGTGGATCGTGTTTTTCCTCATTCACTGCATTTGCATTGCATTGCGTTCGAATGAGTCGCACAATAAAAATATATTTGTATTGCATGTGACGAGCGCATGTGTTTGTGGCTGTGTTTGGATGAGTCTGTCGCAGGCACTGAAACTCTGACAAAACAGTGTTACTAAAGCCAGGCGGATAATACACAACTTTGCATTGTCAGGGGGTATATTACAAACAGCCGCCTTGATGTCGCTGAATGGGAAAAAACTTGGCTGGCCGAAAAGTAATGAATGAATCATCTAAAAATCCGCATAGCTACCAAACAATAACAACCCATGTGTGTGGCTCACTCACTTACTCACTCACACAAACGCACACAGGCACGCAGGCAGCCGAAAACCTTTTACGCAAGGTGAAATTATCATTCGAAATCGAACCAAATGTGAGTGGTTTAGTCATTATTTCTGGGTCTTGGGGCGTCGCTTGCCTAGAAGGGGATCTACGGCTGCGCGGGCCCTTTCACTCCCATGGCGTACTTTGGCCTCAGCATCGAAGATCCACGCCCAGAAGTCAGAGAATCGAAAACGGAAGAAAAACCAAAAAACGACAGAGAACAACGTACATTTAATTTTGCAAAATTCCTGCACAACCCTCACTCACTCTCTCCTGCACTTGGCATTCAAGACTTCCATATCGCCCTCTCCCTCGAGGAACGGAAAGCAAAAGTATGCGCCACTAATATAAACAAATAAGGAGCCTAGAGATCCATGCATGTAGCACAATGGCGGGGATGGAGCCGGAGGAGGACGGAAGAACCTGGGGGAAAAGGCGACTTGTAGTGGGAGTGGGAGAGAGTAAAAATAGCGCAACGGAGTCGCGACGTCGCGTCGTTGCCGCCTCCTCTCTCTCACTTCTCCATGCTGCAAAGGCAATTAAATTGAGTGACTGAGTGGGAGGGAGTGAGGAGGGTGAGCATGCATGAAGACAACATGCAGAAGAAGACACTGCTGGCGAGAGAAGGCACTGCTGCCGCCATCAGAAGCAATTATACACACTCTCATTCTTTGTGTGGCACACACACACTCAAACCCTGGCGGGCTCACCCCCACACAAACACACACACACAAAATGCCTGCCTTTTTGACTTTGACTCCACTTTCGCTCTCTCACTCTCTGGCGATCGTAGCTATATTTTGTCGCTTATCACATCGAAATGGCACGAAAATTGTTCTAAGAACTTGATAAACGCCGCACCGATTTCTGGACTTGCAAGGGGGACTTACAATAGCACTTATAGTTTGTTTTGAATGCGGCTGATAAGCCAAATATAAATACGCTTCTTTGTGTGGGTGTTGTCACTGTCTGCGTATGAATTAAAGTTTTTTTACCTTACTTTTTTTTATTATTTATTATGATGTATGAATTTTGGCCAGACAAAGCGATATTCCAAACAGGAAATGCGAACGAGCGTGTTAAATTGTGTACTTAGTTGTGTTGTTTGTTGCATTTTGTTGTTGCCGCGCGCGTCTTCTTTCGTTTTCGTTCATTGTCTGTCTTTTCAATGGGATGTTGTCTTGCACAAAAACTCTGCACGTACACATGTGGTATACGTAATAGGTGAATATAAACGAAAGAGACGCCTGCAGGTAGTCCCACCCGCCGAATAACGAATAACGGAACATGCTCTTAAACGAGAGTAATTGCAACCGAGAGAGACTTAAATACTCTTGAAGTTGGATTATTCACAGGTGTATAAAATGTTTATGATATTCGCGAAACGTACTTTAATTTGATAAATAAATGCAAATAAAATTGTATTCTAAAATAAAACCATTTTATTTACCTCGCATACATACGTAATGCATACATTTGTAAAAATATTTATTTTAAAATTAAAATTAAAGTTGGCTCTGATAAAAATACATATGTACGTAAGAAGTATGAAATCGACATGTATTTTCCAACTAAAAGTTCGTCACCATTTGAACATTTGATCAGCACCATTTTCATTTCGTTAAATATAAAACTAAATATTTGCCTGGACAGATAAACAATCGCTATACATAAGTTTCTGGATGTCCTAATTCCTCCATCTCAATGCTACATCCAATTCCAGCTTCTTATCGACTGCACATATGCTTTGTAGACTTGGGGCATTGTACACTTTACAAACAGACAATCAATGGAAACACAAGACGCATGCAAACTCGCAGCCTTGATCGAATTTAATCTGTTGTTCGAACCGGAGCCAGTAACTGATTAAGCGACTCAAGATAAAGCCTCCTATCGCCGTTTTTGGGTATTGGGTCTATTTGACGACAACTTTCGGACGACGACGCTCTCAGACTAGCCAACCCAGCGACCAATAAACCGACTGCCTCAGTTTCCTCATTTGGCATTGCGAAAAGGTTTCCGTCGAAACGGAGATCGCTTCGCATGAATAATGAGCTAAGCTACCTGGGAGCTGAAGGGAATATGCGGTCGGAACTTACCTTTTTTTCGACGGGGAGTTGCCGGGTCCTAGTCCTGCGCTCTCGCTATTCCTATGGTTGTAAACACTACAAAGACTACGATCAGCATTCTGTTCCAGTTCCAGTTCCGCTTCCGGTTGCGTCCACACAAAACAAATTTACATTGAAAACTCATTATACACACGGGATAGATCCCGATTCCGATCACGCGTAAAGCAGCCGTGCCGCCCGGTGATTGCACAGCAACTATACGTTGCGTCGGAGCACTTTCTTGGCCGCCTTGATGTTGGGCACCAGCGCCTTAACCTCACTGCAGTCGCTAAGGAACGGATGGCCGAGCAGCTCGTCGGCGGTGGCTCGCCGGTCGACCTCCACCTGGAGGCAGCGGTCGAGGAAGTCCTGCAGGTTGGGACTTAGTTTGTCCCAGCTCTTGATGTCGGGCCGGCCATTGGCCGCGATCAGGTAGAGGGCACGGAGAGGAGTCTCGTACAGGTATGGCGGCTGGCCCTCGATCATCTCGATGGCCATGATGCCGATTGACCAGATGTCCACTTTCTTGCCATACTTCTTGCGCGTGACTACCTCGGGAGCCATCCAGTAGGGAGTGCCCACCATGGTCTGGCGCTTCTCATCGCCCTCAATGTTGGCGCAGAAGCCGAAGTCCGTCACCTTGACACAGCCGTCCATGCCGAGCAGAACGTTGTCCGACTTGATGTCGCGGTGGATGATGCCCTTGGCGTGCAGGAAACTGATCGCGTATATCACCTCCCGGCAGACGCACGCGATCTGGCGCTCTTTCATCACAGTCTCGGTGACAACGTCGGTAAGGGGGCCGCCGTCCATGTACTCCATGACCACCCACAGCTGGTCCTCTGGCTCCAGCAGGTAGGCGTCGAGGAAATTGACCAGGTTCTTGTGATTGAAGTCCTTGAGCACCCGGATTTCCGTTAGGATGAGATCCTTCGAGGACTGGTTTTTCATGTCGATCGTCTTCACAGCCACCTGCGACTCGTTCTGAAGGTCGCCGGCGATGAACACGATGCCGGATGCGCCCTTGCCCACCTCCTGGGTGGTCTTATAGCGTTCCCGCGGGTCCTCCGGATTGCAGATGGCGCGCAGCTCATCATATATCTCGGCATCGGTCTTCTGCGCCCGCTTCTCTTTTGAACGGCGCAGTATCGTCTCGTCCGGATTATCGTCCCCGCCGTCCGCATGCAATGCTGCTCCCGTCGCCGGCTTGATGATGATGGTATCCGTGTTGACTTTGTGCTGCTGGTCGCCTTCCTCCTCCCGCCGCAGATCGGAGGTCCTTGAGAACTTCTGGGTAACCCGGGGCTTGGGCTTGATCTGGGGCTTGGGGGGCATCGTGTGCGGAGACTTCTTAGGCGGCACCGGTGGCGGATCCTGCGATGAGGCAGTCGCCTTTAGCGTCTCTCGGTGCTCAAGGTTTGACTTCAGCTCCTTGAACACATCCCCCAGCACGTCTAGCGGCACCGTCGACTGCTGGCTGCTGTCATTGATGCTGCTGCTGTTGCTGTTGCCCGCTGAGGATCCGCAGCCGCTGCTGCTCTCCGTCTCAGTGGCCGTGGAGCTGCCATCGTCGTCGGACTTCTCCGGGTCCTGCGACTTGTGCTTGTTCTTGTAGTTAACGTAGTTCTCAATTTCCTTGGACTCTTCGTGGATGACATCCTCGGTGATGAAGGGCTTGAAGACCTCGTTCTCCTTTTTCTTAATTGAATAGTTGTAGTACTTGACGGCATGGTAAGCCGCGTCCGGATTCTTGTCCTGTTCATCGCGCGTGATCTGTGAGTTCATCAGTCGCACCCATGGTGAGGGTAGGCCTTCCAGGTCTCCCGTCTCCTGGTTGCGGGAGACGTGGAAGTGTCGCTGGAAGTTTGTGGGCGCCCCGATCTCGGAGATCGCCTCCTTCTTCTTGAACCACTTGGTGAAGCTCATCTTGTTACCAGCGTTCTTTCACTCTCTCGAGCTGAAAGTGTTCTGCGAGTGTATCTGGTGGCGGTGCGACTTGGGAATTTTCTTCCAACGCGATTAGCTACGCTCAACTTGGAAAATTCTATTCATGCGGCGCTTTGTTGTTGTTTGCGTTTCGTTTTGTTGCCGTAGGTAGCTCAAGCCAGCACCACTCTCTTTCTCTCCCGCTCACTGGCCCAGCCGTGAGTCATAAGCACATTCACACACACAGGCTTGCACGCACACTCGCTCCGTTCGGCCTGCGCGTGTTTGTGTGGGTGCGCGAGCTCTTCTTATCTCTAACTGTAGCTGTAGTCGTCGCCTATTCTTCTTCTTCCTCTTTTGCAGACAGAAGAAAACGCAGAAGATTTTCACTTTTTATTGCCTCGCTCGCTCCGCTAATTACGATTTCAGCTCGGCGCAGCCTTAATTTATTCAGCAATCACCAGTTTTCAATTGCAATACACAAAGGCGGACGCGGACACGAACACGCACACATCTCGGAGTCGGACACAAAAGGAGTGGCCCGTCTTGTTCTTCCCCGTTGCTGTGTTGTTGTTGTTGTTAATGCTGTTGTTTTTGTGCCGAAAACTCCCTTTTCTGTTTCGTTCTCAACCTTTCCTGGGAGCCATGGCCAGCAGCAGGAGCGTACGCGCTAGTTTCGCCTTTATTTAATTTTATTTTGCGAGCAACAGCAACTTCTTTGGGTTTTTCCCCTTTGCTGCAATCGGCTGCTGCACTCGGCCTCACTGTCGCTGTCGCACTCGCACCCGCACCACGGCTCTGCGCACGTATTAGAATGGGACAGCAAAGTTTTATTGTAATAATCCTCTGACGGTTCGCACCGGAGTTATTTTGAGTGGATATTACTTTATTTTATTTTTACAACTGCGGACCGAAGAACAACCGCGCGTGGATTTGCCGTCGTGAAATTTTTAAACAGTGTGACCGTTTTGCAGCAACTGAAGAACAATGTGGCCGTGGTGACAACGATAAAAGGTACTATTTTAGATACACGACTTAAGGTTTGAAACTTCGCTAATCAAACTCTTTTGACATTTGTGTAATTATTAGTGTTTATTTTTTATTTTCATACGGGTTTTTAAACCTAGTTTAACGGTCAGAAAGCTGGTACTTTAGAACAATATCCATTTTCTGCGAGCCAGAACAAATAAAAAACGTGTCAAATGCAGGATGCACCAGTATAAAGTCAAGACTTTCATTTTCAGATAGTTTCCGGCCACTGTTGCTCTTCGGATTCCCGCTTTCCTTGCGGAAGTTCATTGCCGTCGTCAGCGCTGTAAACAGTAATAAAATCACCGAATCTGGAAGATAGGAGGCAAAAAAAACCCAACTGACAATGGCTAATTACGGCCAAACGGCGCAGCTTCTTCAGAAATCGTGTACGCAGCCCCAGATAAGGGCCGGAATAATTGATAAAGCGCCCGCGAATATATCGACTCTCGGCTTCCTGCGGCTGGTTAGTTTCCACTCGTCAGCAGAGCACCATGCACAAGCCCCGAGTTCCAAGCCTGCTGCTCCTAGCTGGGATCCTCCTGATCCTAGACTCCGCCCGCGTGGATGCAGCGGCTACAGCACAACGGCAACCGGATAGCCGCATCGTCAATGGACGCGAAGCCACCGAGGGCGAGTTTCCGTACCAATTGTCACTCCGTCGCCAAACGGTACATATCTGCGGCGCCTCCATCCTGTCCGGCAACTGGGCCATCACTGCCGCCCACTGCATCGACGGCCATGAGAACCAGCCTCGGGAGTTCACGCTCCGCCAGGGAAGTGTCCAGCGTTCCACTGGCGGGACCGTCCAGCCGCTGAAGTCCATCCACAAGCATCCCGCCTACGACCGGGCGGACATGAACTTTGACGTGGCCCTGCTGCGTACCGCGGATGGAGCACTCAACTATCCGTTGGGCAAGGTAGCCCCCATTCGGTTGCCCGCTGTTGGAGCAGCAATAGCGGATAGTCTTCCTGCCGTCGTCTCCGGCTGGGGCCACATGAGCACCACCAATCCGGTCCTATCGTCGGTGCTGAAGAGCACCACCGTGCTGACGGTCAACCAGCAGAAATGCCACAACGATCTCCGTAACCATGGGGGCGTTACCGAGGCGTAAGTATTTCAATATACATTTATTTTATATTCTAAAAGTTGAGAAAGTACCTAAAGAAGTAGTAGTTATTTTTATGGCTAAATTTATATTACAAAAACTGCCTGTAAAAACAATAATGGCTTTAATACTGCATTTTTTTCCATTTAAAAATTGTTAACAACATCGTTAGTAAAAGAATTTAATTATCTTTTTCAGCATGTTCTGTGCCGCTGCCAGAAACACGGATGCTTGTCAAGGTAAGATATAAATTGTATAATCTCTGTGTTGATTGTGGAACGCTTTGAACCTGAATCGTTATTCAAGGTGACAGCGGAGGTCCGATTAGCTCCCAAGGCACCCTTATCGGAATAGTATCCTGGGGAGTGGGCTGCGCGGATCCCTACTACCCGGGCGTCTACACTCGGCTAGCCCATCCCACTATCCGTCGCTGGATACGCCTGCTCACTAAGCTATAATGTGACTCATATATTGCTAATAAAAATGGAATCAAGCCTAGAAAAGAAACCAAAAATATAGCTGTAATATTTAAAGTAGATATATTGCCTTTTAAAGGTCCGCGCCCTACTAATCGATAGTATCGATAATATGTTTCCAGAGTATATTTTGTAGTGTGACCGTTTGTTGCCAAACTCAAAATACACACATATTCTTCATTTGCTTGGGTATTTTCATTTAAAAGGTGTTAAAAGGCAGCGGCGGGTGGAGCAGCGGGTGGTAATTGGGTTAAGATAAATAAGTGCATTTTCTGCACAAGACGACGGCGCTTATAAATAGGCAGGCACAACAACAGCACAACAGAACCCAGACACCGTACACCGATTCAATCCGATCCGAACCACCCCCGGCCCGGCCAGTTGCGTTGTGCTGAATGTCCTACTGGCGCTGGTTGTGGCTAGCCCTCAAAATGATCTACCAGCTTCTGTGCTGCTCCGTGAGCCTGATCTTCTTCTGCTTCAACGTCTTCTGGCTGTTCTGCAATCTGGCCATACCCTGGTGCACCCTCACACTGGTCGTGGTCTGTGTCGCCTCCAAGTTTGTGAAGCTGCAGCGCAGTCCCAACGAGAAGCGTCTGCTCAGTCTACTGAGCACACCGGAGGATAGACCCAGCTACTGGCCAATCGCTAACCGGGCGGCCGGCTACGATGCGCCCGAGAACTCCAAGGCAGCTATCAAAAAGGTGACGTCATGAGCGCGAGCCGGGTGGTTCAGACAGAGCGAAAATCAATAACATCCCCCTTTTACCCTGACAGTGCCTCGCACGTGGATATCGAAACGTGCTTTTAGACGCCGGCCTCACATCCTGCGGCGAAATCGTGGTGGCCAACCCCAAGCGGCTGAACGTGCCCCAGCAACCGTTGACGGAGTTGCAGAAGCTGAACATCATGGACCAGCATCCAATGGGGTAAGGTTAAATCAAGTGAAAATTCCGTTGAACAGTTTTAAAGTCAAAATATCAATGCACCCACATAAAGGTCGCAGTACGAGGCGGAAACGGTGGCTACACTCAGGCAGTTGTCGGACTTTCTGGACGCGGAGGATGCGACTCAGGCCACCTTCTTTCTGCGGCTACACGACAACAGCCCTCGCATGCTTGATCAGCTGCAAAAGTTCATGGCCGACAACGAGACGTTCACCCAACGCACAGTTGTGATAAGTCGCTCCCCATTGGCTATATACCAGGTCAGGTTATAAGTTACTGGTCATGGTAGGTCTTACTAAACTTGGTTCTACTTGCAGCTGCGTAAGCTACAGCCAGAAATCATATGTGGCCTGTGGCACGAGACCTATTTGTCGCTGTCCATCCTGAAGTCCTCTACACTGATTACCTCCGTCTACGGCGCAATCTTTCGAAACATCATTGCTCCCGTGATCGGAATTAGCGTGGTCTTTTTGAACAAAGAAGAGTTTAACCTGTAAGCAGTTTTATTTTCCATATATAACAGTTTAACTCATTCCCCAATTTCAGTCACATTGCCGACCTGTGGCGCAACGTTGGCGTTCGTCCAATTGTCTATATGGTGAACTCGCCCAACGAGAAGCGCTACTTCCAAAAGACCATGAAAATCCAGTATCTAACGGATTCGTTGCGCTCAGAGCCGCACCTCCTTGTGAAAGCCTAGAGGAACGAACACAACGACCCAGGCAGACGCACAAAAAACTTAAACACAAAACTGTGTTTGCATTTAGCGCAGCGCTTAGACCGTAGATACAACTTGTTTTAGTGTCCCGTCGTCCACTTCCATGTGTTTTATAGAAGCTTTAGAAAGTATTATTCGATATTTGCTAGCACCCACAGCACCAGTGAGATCAAAGCTATGATTTAATTGTATATTTATGTTTAAATAGGTTCTGTGCTTTATTTTATTTATATCGACCACCCGATTTATTTCGGTATGCTATTTATTTTGTTATGTATGGCTTTATATTTTTTATACCCGCCGCGAAATGTTCTCAAAGTTTGTATAGGCTTATACATATACAGTGTACAATATTTCTACCTTTATACTCAACACACAACCGTATGTGTATGTCTTTTTGATGTGCTTTATACTTACATATACAGAATTCGCTATGGTTTTGAGTCCCCTGAAAAGGTGTCCTTGTCTCAAAATCCCTTACAAGTAATTGCCTAAACCTTAGAATTTATGTATGTCAGTATACCAAAAATACGAAATAATTAAAAATTGATACGATTCGATGATACGACACGAAAAAATACAAATTATTTACGAAGATTTATAAAAATTAAGAGGGGGGAAATATTTTTGCTATTTTTAAGTGGCTCGTTTTCCACCGAATTGACAACTCGTCTTTTTGTATTTATGTTTATGAATCTTTATTATTTTGGGGAATGATAATTGATAGAATGCCTTACCAGGTAAACTATGCATATTTATATATATAATAATTAAATCTATCAAGGTTTATTTAAATTTACGTGAGAGCGAGCGAGCCCTCCCTGCGGTATGCGGGAAGGGATGCAGGGGAGTAGCTAGGATGCTGCAATACAAATCAAATTTTTTATACAAAAGTTACAAAAACATTAGCTCAAAAATTAACAAGGTAAATACAAAGAACAAAGGGATTCCGAAATCCAACTACCTGCCAAATATATATATATATAAAATTTTTATACCCGGCGGGAACGTGTTGCTCGCTTGGGCGCACCTTCGACGCTGGCAGCCGACGCCGCCGCTGCTTCCGTCGGTTCAAAGTGCACCTTCTTGGCGCGTCCTCCGCGAGTTGCCGTCGTCGCAGATGATGATGGCTCTGCGTCAGAGTCATGGACGGGCTGCTCCGGCTCTGGCACCGCTACTGCTTTGGCGCCACCGCGGGCCCGACTACGAGCGGGTGGCTTCTTTGCCGGCTCATCCTCCGGCTGAGTTGCAGCATCCTCGGGAATCTCAGCCACCGGCGTCTTGGCACGCGTCCCACCTCGACCCTTCTTAATCGGGACAGTATGTTCTTCCGGCTCAGTGCCTGACTTATCCTCTGGAGGTTTCACCGGTGTCTTGGCACGACTTCCACCCCGCGCCTTCTTAGTGGGTACAGCTTCGTCCAGGTCAGTCTCGATCTTGGCCTTGCGTCCCGTCGCGCGTGAACTCTTTGAGACTGGCTTGGCTTCCGGCTGCTCCTCTGATTCCTCGTGCTGTCCGCGAGCTGCTCGCTTGCTAGATGGCGCCTCCACTTGCTGGGACGAGTCAGTATCCGTCGCTTTGCGTCGAGCGGCACGCCCCTTGGCGATTACTGGCGCCGGATCTTCTTCCGCCACAGACTCGGCCGGTGGTGGGGCCGCCTCTAGGGAGAGTCTGTTTGCAGGTAATTCTTCTTTCCCGGCCGCCTTTACCTTGCGTCCCTTTGGAGTATTCGGTCGCGGCGAGGAATCCACAATTAACTCCAAGGCCTTGGCGGTCAAATGGCGCACCCGGCGATTGCGAGAAGTGGTGGGCTTATCGTCATCCGGTGCTTCCGTGTAATTCTTGCGCGGCACGTTGCGTCCCTCACGCCGCTGCGAGGATGTGGGCTCCGCAATAGGCACCACATTTGCGGGCGTCTCTACCTCCTCGACGGGTTGGCGTTTGGGCTGCGGGGTCGATTCTTCCTCTGCCCCCTTAAAAGCCAACAGCTTGCTGGCCGCTGGCTTCCGAGGCCGTCGTGCAGATCTCTGCTTGTCCTCGTCTGTGGTCTCGTCGTAGTTTTTACGCGGCATGTTACGGCCCTCTCGTCGGCGTGGTGTAAAATCATCCTCAGATCCTACAGCTCCGTCGCCGATTTTGCCTGACATGACCACGACTGCTGGCACGCTCTCAGTTGGCACTTGGTGCAGATCGATTTTTGTTTCCTGCCCATTATCCTCATCCTTAGTGGAGTCCTGGCGGCCGCGACGGGTGGTAGTTTTTTTGGTCCCATCGATATTGGCTGAGGCCTTGCGAACCCGCCGCTTGGTTTTTTTCTCTGCGGATGCAGCCACCACCACATCCGCTGGCTGTATCTGAACTTCATCGTTGTTATCTGCTGGAACTATATTGTGTTCCTCGTCCTCAGGGTTGGTCTCTGCCGCAACTGGGACTTCGGACTTGGGGCCCTCATCTTCGGTGGCCTTGCGTCCACGCAGGCGTGCAGCAGTGCTCTTGGCTGGCACCTCCAAGGTTTCAAGTTTCGGCTTACGTCCGCCTCGACGGGTTTTGGGTTCCTCCTCCTTCAGAAGCGGCTCGATTTCAGGCTGTGGCTCGGCTACCTCTTCAATATCCTTAAGTTGTTCCACCTCGATGTTGTGGGAAACAGCATCAACGGTTTCAGCTGAGGGCTTGCGGGCATTGCGCCTGGACTTTTTGTCAGGTTCTTCCTCCTTGGCTTCACCCGAGGTTTGTTTCTCAGGTTCAGCCGGTGTTCTGCCTCTTCGCCTTGGTTTATCAGGGACATTTGGGACCGTATGCTCAATGTCAACAGATGGCTTGCGTCCTCGACGCTTGGGTCTTTCTATGTGATCTGTTTCCTTGGCGGATTCAGGCACCTCAGCGGGTACAAATTCTGTTTGCTCCTGGGATCCAATAGGTTCTGTAAGATCTGATGGTTTATCTTCTGAAGCTGGTGCCAATGGCTTCTCTACATTTCCTTTTGCAGACTTTGAGTTACTGGCTGCAGTGTCCTCCTCTTTTGAGGGCTTGCGTCCCCTGCGCCGTGATCTTACCTCCGTGCGAACATCTTCAGGTTTCTCATCTACCGTGCTAATGATCTTGGAATCATTATCTTCCTCCACTATAGATTTTAGGTCTTCTTTAGATGTAGAGACCTTAACCACATTATTAGCGTCTTCCTCTGCCGATGCTTTACGTCCACGTCGTTTGGGCTTTTCTGGCATTTGGGTTTCCGTTTTTTGTTCGATCTGAATGGACGTAGACGTAGTGTCGTCTTCGAAGACTTCAGGTATATAGTCTATCTTTGGTTTCTTGTCCGGTGTAGTTTCCGTTTCTTCTGCCGATGCCTTGCGCCCCCGTCTTTTAGGTTTACCGGTGCTGGATTTAATGGGCTTCGCCTTTTTAGTCTCCTCAGCACTCTTAAGCTCCTCTTCTTCTTGCTTATTTTCCTCATTGGGTTCTACACATATTTCCTTTTTATTTTGGACGCCTTCTTCCTCCCCTTCAACTTCCTGATTTGGAGGAAAATCTGCTTCCTGGGCCTGTTCTTCCTCCTTGGTTTCATCTTCAATATTCTTTATCATGGGCTCAGGAACTTCAGCTGATGGCTTGCGTGCTCGTCTTTTAGGTTTTTCTGTAATGTCTACTGACTTGACTTCCTCCGATGGCTTTCGTGCGCGTCGACTTGGCTTCTCCAGGGCATCTTTCTTCGGCATCTGATCAGATACAACTTCCTTTTGAGGCTCATTATCTTCATTGGGTCTAGAAGAATGTGCCTCTTCCGGAATAACTTGCAGTTCTTCCTCCTTCGTAGCTTGGTTGTGCGTCATGGGTTCAGCCACTTCCGCTGAAGCCTTACGAACGGCTCTTCTCTTTGGTTTTTCATGGACATCATTCGACTTAACCTCCTCTACCTCTGCAGATGGTTTTCGTGTGCGTCGGCTTGGGTTCTCCATAGCGCCTTCTGCAGGTGTCTCCACGGAGGCTGATCCCTTTCTGGTCGCTCGTTTCACAGGTTTTAATTTCTCTTTCACGCTGGGTTCATCTTCCTGATGCATAACCTTTATTGTCGAATGATTGAGCGATACTGAGGGTTCTGGATTTGGTTCCCCGATTTGTTCGGACTTTTCAGGATCCGAACTAGAAATAATAGGCGTCGCTAGCTCATCAGCTTGTATGTTTTCAGAGTTTGAGGCCTCCTTGTTGGATGCTTCAATATCCTGCACGAGCTCCGAAACGGCCTCCACAGTGCTCGAAACATCTTCGCTGGACTCGTCTTTCACTTTAGACGACTCTTCATCAGCAGAACCTTCCACCTTTGACTTGTTGTGTTGTGGTTTCTCATCTTGTTTAACATTTGCGACAGATTCTGTTGTTGAAGTGATTTCAACTGCCTCTAACTTTTCTGAAGCCTGTGGTTTCTCTGTCTTTTCTTCTTTAGTAACAGGCGCCGCGGGTGTACCATTCTGAAGTTCATCAGAAACGTCTTCAACCTTCCCATTATTAAGATCCTCATTGGCAATTGTTTCTATAATTGAGACTGAAGAATTTGTATTTGGGCCATTGGATGTGTTGCAATCTTCTGCAATTGGAGAGCCTTCTTCAGGGACATCTTCGACCTTCGGTTTTTGGGAATCCTCAGTGGGTAGGGTTTCTTCAATAGGGAGCGAAGCATCCGCAGGGGCTGGTTTGTGATCTTCTCTAACTGGAGATGATTCGGAATCAGAATCATCGCTCAATTCAATTATACCAGAAACTTCTTTGACTGTGTTGTGATCTTCTGCTATTGGAGTGCCTTCTTCAGGGACATCTTCTACCTTTGGATCCGCAGTTGGTAAGGTTTCTTCTATTGGCTCTGACGGGAGTTCCGGAGTTTCGGTAGTGGACACAGGGGCCTGGTTGTGCTCTTCTTGTGGTGATTCAGAATCATCGCTTAATTGAACTTTCTTTGCATTTGAATCTTCTGTTGGTACGGTTTCTTCAGTAGAGAGCGAAGCCTCTGGAGGTGATTCAGAACTAGAATCATCGCTCAATTCAATTATATCTGAAACTTCTTTGACGGCACAAGTTTGCATCACCTTCTGGTTTGGAGATTCCGCATTGATATGACGATCATCTGGCTGTGGCTGTTCCCCTTCACTTCTATGAGCAGAAGTTCCTTCGGTCAGTTCCTCTGACATAGATGCATCTTCGGTTAAAGACTGATTTATGACGGCTTCTTTGACCTCCTCCTCAATCGATAAATGGTCCGTTTTAGCAAGAGATTTGACAGCAATATCAGTAGCAGATAATGAAATGTCTTGTTGAGGCTCTTCCGACCGCTGCACTTCAGTGGCTGTTCGATCCGTGGATTTGCCTTCAGACTCCGCGTCGGTAGAAGTTGATTCATCAATCTGAAGTTTGTCTTTGGATGATTCAGAATTGCGTGAAGAGTCATGGTCACCAAAGGCCATAGCTTGGTTATTGGACGTTACTGTTGCATCTTCGAAGGGTTTTTCAGTTACCGAGGCTTCATGAGCTCCATCGACCGCTATGCTACTATTGGGTTTCTCTGTAATATTAATCTCCGGATTTTCAGCCATACTTTTGTCTTGCACAGCTGGTGATGATGAAGGTTCCAATAGAGCTGAAGTTTCCAATATATCAGTAATGGGTTGATCTAGACATATTTGTTCGGTAGCAACTTCTCCTGGCTGTTCTGTAACTGCATCATCTTTTACTGTTAACGAGGTCTCTGCGGCAGCAGATGGAATTAACTGGGAAGTCTGTTCCTTCCTAGCGGAAGTATCAATAGAAGTTTCTTCCACTTCATTAAATTCTTTATCTTCTATTGGTTTAAATTCGTCTTGTTGGGCACTCATTTCTTCACTTGTCGCCACATCTTCCGGATGATTCTCTAAAGATTTTGCTTTTCGTTGCTCTTCAACAACAGAATCTTTTTCAACCTCCTCAGCTATGCTTGATGTATCCAGCTTATTAACTTCAGCCACAGATTCGCCGTGAATAGCAACATTTTCAGATGGGTAAATTTTATTTTCTTCCGTGCTGGCGGGTTTCGGCTGCTCAGTAAAGGACTCTATTATTATAGAACTTGTGCTTAGTGAACTTTCCTCATCAGGAATATTATCTGTAGAAGGGACAACTGTGGGAGGCACATTTTGTGGTGTTTCCAATGAAGTATTGTCTGTGACATCATCCTCCTTTTGATCATCTTTGTTTATTTCTGTAATAGCTAATTCGGCAATCACTGAGACATCCCTCTTCGGCGAATCGCCAGCTGTTATGTCTGCTGCATGGAATTCTTCTGGTGGATGCACATCTGGTAATGGACTCTTTTCAGGAGATGCTTCATTTATTGAATATTCAGCAATAGTAGTTTCCTCCTTATCTGATTTTACTTCACATACGGATTCTACTTGTGTTTTATTCGCTTCGATCTGTTTTGGAGATCCTTCGGAAGCAAACATTTTAGCTTCGGCACCATTAGTCTTTTCATCGTCACATGGATTCATGTCTTCCATAACTCCAGCCTCATTTACATCTTCCTGGGCCGGATTGATAGGATCTGTATGCTGTACATCTGACGTTGAATCAAACTCAATATTGGCTGGACTTGGACTAGGATTTGCTAGAGATGATTCCTCTTCATGAGGCACTACTTTGATGTCTTGTTTTGGCGTCTCTGGAGTTGCAGTTGCGCCAGTAGGCAACTCCTCAACAGCACTTTTCTGGATTTCTACATCATTAACAAAAGGTACCTCTAATGTATTTTGTTCTAACTCCGCCGTAGGTTTCTCATCCGTATCATCATTTGCATCAGCTTTAACTAAAGACGCCTCTCGTGTAGGTGACTTGGGTTCTTCGGCAACAGATACTTCGCCAGCTTCTGGCTCTGTTACTGTAGAAATACTTTCCATTTCAGCATCTTGGCCAAGTGATTCTACAGCGATATTATCTGATGTTACATTAGAGATCTGTGCATCAACGGGTAACTTATCGGTCTCAGATTCTTCAGAGGGTAAAGTGTCGATTACTGAAAGATCTTCTTGTACAGTTTTGCCAGTTAAATCTCCTTTAGTAATAGGAGGTTCTGAATCGATTGAACTTGGGTCATCGTTTGTTGAAAGTTCCGCCTGCAAATTGATATGAGTGGCAAAACTATCAGATGTTGTATCGGAGTCCTTAGTTTCAGCAGTTTCTTGTGCATCCTCTGTAGTTATCATATTTTCTGTCTGTTCTTCGGAGGGTACTGAAGGATCTTCTTCAGCAAGTTTGTCTCCCTCCAACTCTTCTGTAGAAATTGGCAATTCTGAGTCAACGTTTGTTAAAAGTTCCTCCTCCTCCACAACAACGGAACTATCTGCTGTTGAATCAAAAAGTATAACTTCTTTCTCATCATCTCTTGTTATCTTTTCTTCAGACAGTTCTTCGGAGGGTAGTAGATCTTCCTCTGCAGTTTTGCCAGTTAAATCTTCTTCAGAATCGGTAGGTTTCTGGTCACCGTTGGTTTCAAGCTTCTCATAAGGAGGGAGAGGGAGTGCTTCGGAGTCCACAGCAGCGGATACATCATTTCCTTTGTCTTCATCTGTCAGAGCCACATCGGTGTTCTTGCTTCTCTCCAACAATTCTTCGGAAGGCAGAGGATCTGAAGGATGAGTTCCTGCTTCTTCAGACCCAGACTCGGCCAGGTTTTGATCCACTCTCGTTGAGACCTCCACCTCGTCCTCTTGCGTTGAGTCCAAGGGAAACGTCTCTGATTCTACAATGGTCAATTCGACGGCTGCGGATTCATCGTTCTTCTTTGTGGATTCTGCTTCCATGTCGCTCAAACTGTCTAGTTCGATTACTATGGATTTTTCATCTTTGGTTGCACTAATGCTGTCGCCTGCCACGCTTTCGTTAACTTCAATCAGCGAGACCTCGTCCATCAATGAACTCTCTCTGCTTATGGATTCCCCTCTGGCTGATGTCTCATTAACAGATGGCTTGCCTTGGGACTGGTTTAGTGTGATATCCTTTGTAGCAACGGATTCTTCGAGTTTGTAGGCTACAGAAACCTCTGCGGGAGCTGCTATTGATTTCTTGGGTGTCACTCTTGAATCCTCCGCCACCTCAGCCTCATCATCATCGTCGCTCAATACGAGAGGTTCGGTCAGACCTACGTTTGAGTCATTGTCGACATCGTTGATTTCTACCGGCTTATAGGTGCTCTGTCCTATGGCCCCCGTCTCATCCACAGTGACGTTGCACGATTCCACGCCCGACACTATTAGATGCTCAGAGAACATAGAGTCCGAGGTCTGGTCCAGCAACTGTATCCCGCTCATTTCGTTCGAGCCCAGTGAGCTGGGCCTTGAGGACGCTTCGCCCTCCTCGGTAAAGGTGCTTAGCTCAAGATCGGCCTGCATGGCAGCCTTGTAGGTGGTGCTAGTGAGGGGGTCTTTTTTACGGGCTTCCAGCTTACACACACTCATTGGTGCCTCCGATGACACCGATTCTTTCAAGGGATCCAGTCCCGACGCTGTGCTAAGGCTTGTTATATCTATCTCTGATTCGGTGTTCTCCATGTTGGCCACTGATGTTCTCGGTACATCATCAAAGATTTGGTCCAGGTGCAACGTGGTATTGGTCGTGTCCAGATCGTACTCGGTGGTTGTTGCTAAGGAATCCCTGCGGGACTTTAATACGGCACTAGCTGGTTCGTTGGGCACCATGATATTCCTGGCGCTGGGGGTCTTCAAAACACCCTCCAATACCTTTTCGTTCTCTACTGCGACGCTTGCCACTGTGATGCTCCTGCTGGTCTTGCTGTGCTGTGGCGTGCTGCCTGTAATAGAGTTATCCAGCAACTCTTCAATATTGCCGAAAATTGGAGAAGCGGGAACCTTGGGTGTGCGCAGCATTTCCCGCAGTCCCTTGAAGCGAGGTGTGCTGCAATTCTTGGGAGTCTTCAGGAGATCCCTCAAACCGTGATAGTCCACATTGTCCGGCTCATCGCAGGGCAGCTCCTTGCCATAATTTTCATCCTCCACAAGGGAAGTTTTTTCGTCTGTAATTAAGGCGATGGAATTAGCTCAAAATATATTAATAAATTGGATTTCAGTCCATCTATTTTGGAAACTTAAAATTATTTAATAAGTATTTATATATTGTTGAATCTTACCATCATCTTCCTCCACAATCACACCCATATCATCCATGGAATCATCCACTGGAAGTGTGGCCTTGGGTGTGTTCATCATCAGACGCTTCGATTGTCTCGTTGGCGTGGACATTTGCTCAGAGAATCGACGCTTGCGGCGCGGCGTACCGCTTTCTTGATTATCCTCCACCAACGCCGAACAGGACGCTCTACGTGTGCCCCGTTTGCTGCCCTCCGTCTTCGTCTCTGACTGACTGCTGCTGGCCCCCACTGAGCCCCGCCGAGTGCTGCTGCAGTGACCTGCCTTCTGGTCAACAGATAGTCGTCGCAAACTCCTTCGAATCATGGGGGTTTCTACTCGTGTGGTTGGTTCCTTGTTCTCTCCTGGGGGCGAAGAATAAACTTGGTCTTTTAGTTCTCTTTACAATTCGTTCACTTACCTTCTGCAACAGAATCAGAAGACTTAATAGCTGGTGACTCTTCCTCCCCAAGCTTGCCTGTTATATTTGTAAAATAATCAAAATATAAGTACATTTTGAAGAAGGCACTTTAATCTTCATCTTTGCTTACCATCATCATCGACTTGTTTGGGAATATTTGCGTCAACTTCTTCACAAATACTATCTTCAATGATGTCTACTCTTTCGTTGGCTTGCATAGAACAATTTTCGGTATTTTCATTATCGACAAGATCGTCTGGTTCTTGACATGATTTCCCAATAGGTAGAGTTCCATTATCGCCAAGTTTGGGAGACTTAACCTCTTCCACAGCAGATGGTAGTTCATCCCCTACGAAAGAATCTTTCCTTATCTCTGTTGGTGGAGGAGAAGAATCCAGAATCTTGGAAACAGCACTATCATCCATTTCTCCAGTGACAAGGGCAGAGATGATTCCAAGTATAGAACTTGCTTCAGCCGGGTCCCCGCTTTCGTTCATGATCGTAAAAGTGCGACTCAACTCGTCCTTCGTCGAGTCGTCTAGTTTCTCTGGAGTGGAACATTTGGGATGTGACATATTGATGGTTTTTCTCACAGCTGGCGATCCTGGCTGGGACGAGCTCGACTTCGGAGAACTACTCTTAGGGGAGTTGAGCGTACGTCGCGCCTTCGCCTTGAGCTTGAGGCCCATGTCTACGGCGAGACTGCGCTTGGCAACCGCCAGGGACTTTCTTATCTCAGAGAGCTTGTTATCTCTTGGCGTCCCAAGGTTAAAGGATTGCCGTCTGTGCTGGATGTTTTTGGGTGCCGAGTGCACTGCACTCCTCCGCGCTTCTCTGTGTTCAGGCGAAGGAAGTGAAACGAATGGCATGCGCGGCGAGATGTGGCTCAGGCGACGTTGGATTGATGGGGGATTTGGGGTAGCTACTGGTGTTTTATCCCTTTGATTGCCAGCGATCTGCTTCTTCTTGGTGCTGGTGAGCAGAGCCCGCTTCATTAGGGACTGCGGCGTGCGAGTGGGTGTGGCGGACACGGCATTGGCGGCTCGTCGTGGCGTCTTGGCCAGATGGGACCGGGCTGGTGTGGGTGGCGTGGCCGACTTTGTTATGTCAATGACAAGGGGCGAGCCATCCGAAGACTCGTCCGTGCTGTCCACGCTAATTGGTGTGGGCTTTAAAGATGGTCGAAGCTTTGAGGGTGTGGTCAGATCGATCAGATACATGGACGATTGCCGCTTGGTCTTTTTCGAGGTGGAAGGTGTGCAGAAGTCCATCAGATCACGGCTGCAGCTGTCGTCGTTCAACTCGGACAGCACTCCCCCTTTCGGAGTGCTGTACACACTCTTGGGTGTGGACATGGTCACAAACGCAGCCACAGTCTGTTTGCTACTTTTTGTTGGACTACGCACGCAGGCGAAGGACTTCTCCACCTTGACGCCAGTCTCGCGCGGCGAGAAGGATGTTTGGACCACGTCGGAGCGAGCGCAAAGCTGCAACAACTTCTGGTGGGTAGCCGGCGGCGTGGCAGTGTTCTCCTTGTTTTGGGTCGCCTCCACCAGATCGACTTTGGGCGTCTCGCACGATGACGTCTCCTCTGTGCTTGGTGGAGTCGAGAAATTTAAGCTCTCCTGTTCGTCCAACTGGGATTCGTTTTGGCCCCGCGATTCTATAGAGGTGTTGCCCTCGTCATCCGAGTTAATGCTGTAGTGAAAGCTAAAAAGGGATGCACGAAAGACAGGGTTTTATGAGGACATATGCCGAAAATATGTGATTTTTCCAATTGTTGTTGTTGTTTTTGTTGTGGGTTGAGCACGCTCAAGCCATTTTAGGGGTTGGCGGCTGCTACCTGGCCCCGCAGGCGACTGCCTGCGCTGCTTTACTTACTTGTGCACTGTCAGACGCTTGTCGATCTGTGGACGATGGGACTGCAAAGGCAAACAGAGATAGGAAAGGCGTCGTATTGGTCTCAAGAAACTGTACTTGCTGGCAGAGATTTTGACGCCACTCACCTTCAACGAGGGGCAGGAGTTTGGCGCCTGCTCGACGGGCTGCTGGCGCTCCGGTGTGCTCGCCACATCCTCTGACCCGGACATCTTATGAGACTCCCAGGTGTAAACCCTGTCCAGAATGGTGATCCGGTTGCCGTGCAGCAGCGGATGACTGCGCTGGCCGTGGATGATTTTGTCATTCAAGTGGATCGGGATATCCTTGTTGGACTGGTTGATGAGAGTCACCTAGAGGACACAAAAACCGACCATTTAAGGCGGCTTATTCGCAACATCGCAGACATTCAGTATACTCACCCTGCCGAATGCGTCGCATGTTATCTCGCAAACCAGGCGCTCCGCCTGCGGTTCCAGGATTACGTCGCAGCTGATGTAGGAGCCGATTTGAAAGGTGCGTCCCTTGGCCGGCACCAAAACCTCCTCGCCGTTGTCGTCCACGTAGCGCAGCCGGGCGCCATTCAGAGACATTTTTCCAGCGGCCGGCGGAGTGTGAGCGGCTTGGGTGCGGGGAAAGTAAAAAAAAACCGAAAAGCGAATACGAAAGTAAGCCTAGGCGGCCAAGTGCCCAGGACTCGAGAGAGGAAAAACACTAGCACTTCTTCTACCAATTTTTCACTGTTTTGTGTTACACCTTTAACGCTGCGACTTAAGTTCCGGCCTACATTACAAGCGTCCCGATATCTCTTTCTGTGCAGGAATTTTTTTTTCAATGGACGCGCAAGTCCGGAATGCCAACTTGTTTTTGGCGCCACCGAAGGCGTTACATTCGAATTTCGAGGCGCGCGGAGCTGTCAACTGGTTTTATTGGGGACTGCTTTATGCACTTTTCCGCAACGATGTGAGGAAATTCTAACACATTATCAGGCAATTAACTGATATTTTGATAATTAGTTTCAGTAGAATGAAAATAAATTAGTTTCACAAGATTTCTTTTTGGCAGGACGAGTTCTTTTAATGAAGCCCTGGCATGGGCAACGGTTTCAGTGTTGGAAAACCCCTGGATTGGCTAGAAGGAAACTTTAGCAGAGCTAAATGGCAATCAGATTTTTAAATTACTTTCAATACATATAAATTAACTGAAAAAATAATTTAATCAATTTTTCCTTGTCTTATTCCGAACTATTTTTAATTCCTTACAATTTTTTTCACTGTAAATGTAATGTGACCAGCACTCTTTGCCGGATGGTATTCTTTATCAGTCAGCTTGCGGTCACACTGTTTGCAACAAAAGCCGGAACAAAAACGAAATTCGCAAAAATTCCGCAAATATTGGTAAAACCACACAACAATGGATTCGGATGCCGCCCAAAAGACCTGGGAACTGGAGAACAACATCCAGACTCTGCCCAGCTGTGATGAGATTTTCCGCTATGACGCTGAGCAGCAGCGCCAGATTATAGACGCCAAACCCTGGGAGAAGGACCCGCATTTCTTCAAAGACATCAAGATCTCGGCCCTGGCGCTGCTCAAAATGGTCATGCACGCCCGCTCTGGCGGCACCCTGGAGGTGATGGGCCTGATGCTGGGCAAGGTGGAGGACAACACAATGGTGAGTAAACGAAAGAGGTTAGATACGGGAATCAGCTACTTAACTGAATGCCTTGCAGATTGTCATGGACGCATTCGCACTGCCAGTGGAGGGAACCGAAACCCGCGTCAATGCCCAGGCCCAGGCCTATGAGTACATGACCGCCTATATGGAGGCCGCCAAGGAGGTGGGCCGTATGGAGCATGCCGTTGGATGGTACCACAGCCATCCCGGCTACGGCTGTTGGCTGTCCGGCATAGATGTGTCCACACAGATGTTAAATCAGACGTACCAGGAGCCGTTCGTGGCCATTGTGGTTGACCCCGTGCGCACTGTTTCCGCTGGCAAGGTGTGCCTTGGCGCTTTTCGCACGTATCCAAAGGGCTACAAGCCGCCGAATGAGGAGCCGTCGGAGTACCAGACCATCCCACTAAACAAAATCGAGGACTTTGGCGTCCACTGTAAGCAGTACTACCCGCTGGACATTAGCTACTTTAAGTCGGCTCTCGACCGCAAGCTGCTTGACTCGCTGTGGAATAAGTACTGGGTGAACACGTTGGGCAGCTCGGGGCTGCTGACAAACACGGAGTACACCACTGGCCAGATTATGGACCTCTCAGAGAAGCTCGAGCAGAGTGAGAACTTTTTAGGTCGCGGTACATAGCAAGCCAAATCCAAGAATCCTTCTTGTTAATAATCAGTTTTTCGCTCCGCAGGTACCGATGTCAACGAGAAGCGATCTGAGGACAAGCTTTCGAAGGCCACGCGAGACTGCAGCCGCTCAACCATTGAACTGATACACGGCCTCATGGCACAGATCGTCAAGGATAAGCTCTTCAACAAGGTCGGACTGGGAAAATAGATTAAGATGGTGATTAGTTTCACTTAGTTTCCGTATCTGTCTAATACTGTATCTAATAATAAAGCACTGAGCGGATTTTCTATGTGAAGCTGAGGTCTTGAATCGTTGTGGAAAACCAGAATGTTTTCAGCTTGTGCAAGCCGATACGAGCGAACTTAAAAGGCAGATTCGAATGTAATGTATATAATTGTTTTGGAAATTCTTTGGGACGTGCCTACCTGGTTAGCGGCTTGGCTTGGGTTCGTCCTAATTGCACCGTCTCATCAATCAAATGGTTTCATCATTTATTGCGTTTAGCGTCGTATTTTATAACTTTTATTTCTCGATTGCGTGTCTGCTGATTGGCGGATAGGGATTCAGGATCGACCCGAAGTCTGCGTTCGGCGGCAAGAGCCACAAGTGAGATGTCAACGCCCTTCCTGCACGTGGCCCACCAATCAATTGGGGGATGGGTAAGGGGCTGTGCTCTCTAATTAAATACGTTGTCACGTTTATGGCCCCTGTGGAGCACCGGAAGAGGGTGCTAATGCAAATACCAGTCCTGCTTAACCGCTATCATCACTTTTAAGGCCAGGAAGGCCCATTAAAATGTCAGAATTTGTGTGCGTGCATAAGTTCCTTCAGTTGCCTGTGTGTGTGCTATCCAAGATATATACTGTGGAATTTTTAAATTCTCTTAAACGTTAATGTAAATTGTGGTGTAATGCTAACCAACAAATCTTACATGAAAAGGTAACCGAATAAATTACAATAAACCTTACACAGATTGGGTGGTGGACAGGCAACCCGAAACTTTCCATAAATTGTCTGTCCTTTATAAAGATTTAGGTGACAAACTCTACACTTCAGCCCCCGGGTTCGTTTGTGCGTGTGAGTTATTGTTACAAAAGCAATAAAATAGGGTAAAATACTTCATTTTTTTATACTTTATCGAAAAGTAACCGTCGATTGGCATCAACAAGGAGCAATGACATGAAATCTAACACTGCTGAAGGGGGCTCTGTTTGCAGTCCTGGGAGGAGAAAGATGGTGGGTGTTCGTTCAGACGCTTCCCACTTAGCAAGGGTGTGTGGAGGCGGTGTACGGAGCGGGTGTCAGGGCCGATGTTGACTATAAAAGACCCTGCCACGAAGGCCAGACGTTTCATTCGCACACGGAGTGCGACCTGCGAAGCATCAACAGTCTCGGCCAAGGATACCATGGCATCATCCACAGGAGCAGGCATCCTCCACCAGCCAGCAAAATCAAAGTAACTGCCAGAGCAAACAATGGGCAAAGTGTTCGTTTGCTGAGCGTTAGTGCGTGTGCGTATTCCTGTGGGAACTGCAGGCAACATATGCCCCAGAGTGTGTGTGTTCATAAATTGAATTTGCCGGGAATTATAAATAAATAACGGCCAGAAGCCGCAGCAGAAAATTGCCAACTGAAACTTATATAAAAGCCACGTTAACAAGAAATAAGCTTAAAACGCGGAACAGCACACAGGGGATTTAAGCTGATTCAAGCCGTGTTGGGACCTGTTGAGCAAGGTAGGTGTAGCTTTAATTGTTGGTACGCAGGATTCGTGCAGGATTATCTTTAATAAAGTTATGTTAAATGGAGAATTAGGAAGAAACATTGAATTAAAGATGCAAGGACTAAATAAAATATTTTTAAAACTTTCTTAATTTGCATTTACTTTTCATTTTTAGGTAATCCAGATTAAGACGATCTCCAAATATTTCTCGCCATGTATGGAATGCTCTATGAGAGTGTCCAGCACTATGTGCAGGAGGAGTATGGCGTGGATGTCTGGAAAAAGGTTTGCCACATCATCGACTGCAAGCACAACAGCTTCAAAACGCACCAGATCTATCCGGACAAGCTAATGCCAGACATTGCAGCCGCCCTGTCCGCCTGCACTGGAGAGTCCTTTGACTTCTGCATGAACTTCTTTGGGAAGTGCTTCGTGCGCTTCTTCAGCAACTTTGGTTACGACAAGATGATTCGCTCCACGGGACGATACTTTTGTGACTTTTTGCAATCCATCGACAACATTCATCTGATCATGCGCTTTACATATCCGAAGATGAAGTCGCCCAGCATGCAGTTGACCAACATGGATGATGATGGAGCTGTGATCCTCTACAGGAGCAGTCGCACAGGCATGTCCAAGTACCTCATCGGACAGATGACGGAGGTGGCCCGCGAGTTTTACGGCTTGGGAATCAAAGCCTACGTAATCGAGAGCCAGAACGACATCACCGGAGGCACAGCTGGTCCTATAAAGCTCACTGATGGTCCCCTCACAGTGATCGTTAAGTACCGACTGGACTTTGATAACAGGGAGTACATGGCCAAGCGCGTCAATACGGAGGCACATCCCTCGCAGCTGCGGATGCCTACCGTGAATCTGAACGTATTTCTGGACTTGTTTCCCTTCACTTTTGTGCTGAACCACGACATGAAGATCACGCATGCCGGCGAGAAAATTGTCGAGACGTGGATTATGCATAATCCTGGGGCCAATCCCAAGGGGTTCATTGGTACACATGTCATGGACTTGTTCCACTGCCGTCGCCCTAAGGACACCACCATTGACTGGGCGACCTTGATCCAGATGAGGGCTGTGCTCTTCGAGTTCGAGCTCATCCGCACGGGCCACAACCGTGCCGCCTATGACGCCGTGCTGAACATGGACTTTGAAAACTACGACGAGATGGACTTGAACGAGGCCCAGACAATGGCCCTGGCCAAGGCCAAGGAGTTCAATGATGCGCATCCGGTGGACAAGGACGAGGCCTCGGGAGATGATGAGATTGACCCGGCCACGGGAGAGCGACGATCTTCCCAGGGCCTGCGCTCCATCCTTCTGAAGGGACAGATGTTCTATATCAAGGACGTGGACTCGCTGATCTTTCTTTGCAGTCCGCTAATTGAGAATCTGGATGAGTTGCACGGGATTGGTCTGTACTTGAACGACCTTAATCCTCACGGCCTGAGTCGAGAGCTCGTCATGGCTGGCTGGCAGCACTGCTCCAAGTTGGAGATCATGTTCGAGAAGGAGGAACAGCGTTCGGATGAGCTGGAAAAGTCCCTTGAGCTGGCCGATTCTTGGAAGCGACAGGGCGATGAACTTCTGTACTCCATGATTCCCCGACCCATTGCAGAGCGTATGCGACACAGCCAAGAGCAGGTCTGCCAGAGCTTCGAGGAAGTGTCCGTCATCTTCCTTGAGGTCCTGAATGTCTACGATGGAGGTCTGAATAGCATTCAGGGAGCCATGCAGGCCGTGAATACTCTGAACAAGGTGTTTTCCTGTCTAGATGAGGAGATCATTTCACCGTTCGTGTACAAGGTGGAGACCGTTGGCATGGTTTACATGGCGGTTTCTGGTGCTCCAGACGTGAATCCACTTCACGCCGAGCATGCCTGCGATTTGGCCTTGCGGGTGATGAAGAAGTTTAAGAAACACGACCTGGGCGAAGTGGCCATTCGAGTGGGCATCAATTCTGGACCAGTGGTAGCTGGGGTTGTGGGCCAGAAGGTACCGCGTTACTGCCTGTTTGGGGACACTGTTAATACCGCCTCGCGGATGGAAAGCAGCAGCGATCCCTGGAAGATCCAGCTATCCACATACACAGCCGAGAAGGTGCGCCAGGTGGGCTACAAGGTCCAGTCCCGCGGCACCGTCAAGGTCAAGGGCAAGGGCGAAATGGAGACGTTTTGGCTGCTCGAGGGGCCACCGGAAGGTTAAGATATCAAGCTGAAAAGTTATAAATTTAAAGCACCGAATGCACTGAAAGATTGTACGACACCTGTGGCTTTGTAATCCGTTGCAATAAAAGAGAATTCACCTCTTTCTGATTTTTGTTTAATATTATAATAAAAAGGGTAAACTATGAGCTCCAACCTAATAAACTGTTTAGGTAATTCCCAATTTAATATGAAGTGCTCTAGTTTATGTGGCACCTTCTTCAGTGTTTCTTGTAGGAATATCCCAACCAACAGACAACCCCCATTTCCGAAAATCCATTTTTAATAACTGTTATGGGCGGCTTGCGTGTCGCTGTGAACACCATCACGATGGGCAATCCATATAAGCCTCCCATAAGGTCCCAGGGAGGGTGTCCTCTGCTCCTTCATAGAAATTAAATTAAGTCATTCTGCGTGTACAGAGACAAAGCTGCTCAAATGTCTGGACATTGGACAATTAATTCTGAAGCCTCACTGATAATGATCACACAGAAAAGAAAACCTTTCTACTCTGAATCTTTAGAATGTATCTAGCTCTTTAATTCTTATAAATAGTCCGGATTCTGAAGTTATATTTTCTCTCAGTGCAATTAATCGCCTAACGCAGTCATTAAGTTGTTCCTTCGGGGAAGCAAAGGACAACACTGGATGTCTTTGTAGTTTTCGCGTTGTTTCTCATTTTACGCGCGCCTGTCGTTTGCGTTATTAATGGCATTTTGAGTGGCTTTTAAGCATGCCCGAAATATCCCTTCTTTGTGCCTGACAAGGGGATGCCTGACCTGGCCCTGCTCTGCTGTGGCCCCCAATCCGGCACATTATCATCAGTTTGCCAATTCATGTGCTGTCCATAAAATTGTCAACGTTTATTTAAAAAGCTCGTCGGGAGAATCCGTTTCGGTTAAGCAGGATGAAGGTTTTGTTTTGGGCACCAGAACGCTTTCAGTTCCTACATTCGTTAAGTTGCAGAATCCTCTTTAAATTGCTTTAAAACAACCCATCAAATATGTAGCCAGGACCCATGGCTCACATACACAGCAACACACAGTCGATTGTGTGTATTTATTGCTGAAGTATGCGTGAAAACGGAATGGCATTAAGTACAGATGCCCCAAAGCCATCTCATCTAGGGAGAAGGGAAATGGAAAGGAAGAGGGAGCTGGGAAATGGGAAATGGGAAAGGCAAAAGCGAAAGGCTACCACAATGATACATTTGACAGACTGTTAGGAATCATCCAGGGACTCGGGACTGGTAAGTGGGAAATCGGATACTTTAGCAATAAAAAGATAACTATAAACTAAATAAAATAAAGTTTTTAAAGTTTGAGCTTTAAAAATTGCATTAAAAACATTGCCTACTTTTTCGAGCCAGTTTTTTAGGGGTTTAAAAATGAGGAAGAATTTTAGATAGAATCTAAAATCGCTAGAAGCCATCCGTTTACAATTCATACTTGTAATTCAATATGACTTTTGGAGTAGAATTAATACCTATATAAGTCCTGCGAAACTAAAACCATGTCCTTTTTCCCCAAAGAGTGTTTATAAATTATTTTTCATATAAAATCGTTTATATTCCTTCACAGGACTTATCACTTGCCATCCCTGGGACACCGTTTTAACAGTAACACAATGTCGTAAGACCCAAAGGACAATATTTTGCACGGAATGCCGAGAACGCAAACATGTACACATACACAAGCCGGTTGGCGTGTTGGCGTGAAAGGGAGGTCCTTAAAGGGAGCGAACAGAGAGAAAAATGACTCCTTCGTTTGTGTGTCAATGTTGATACTATATCGGAAGAAGAGAAAGTGGCAATTGAGCCAAAGAGCATTGACTCCCGAGTCCGATGGTGACGATGATGATGATGATGATGATGACGGGCATGGTCAAACAGGGAAGTGCGTGTCGAGGCGCAGGCACGGAGGTCGTAAGTGGCCCGGAAACATTGCTCCAACTGCAACCCAGCTGCGGGGGGAGCTATAAAAGGCCTGACCGCCAACGACACACGCTTCATTCGCCCCAACGACTACGTTCCGTCTAAAAGGGAAAAGAAAAGCTCCGACTCCCCGACAGATCCGACGGCCCAGCCTCACGAAGCTCGTTTCGTCAGAGGAAATCATGGAACAAATCAGACTGCCAAAAGCAGAGCCAGAACCAGCAGCAGAAGGCAAGAAGCAGCGACAGGCGGCAAAACAAATTTAGTGTAACAATAGCAACGGACGACGAAGCACCGCGGAGTCCGGAAAAGCGAGAACCCGGAGCTCCCGAAAAGTACGTATATACATCGAGTGAATTTACGGTTTACGCGCCCGGGGAGGCTGTGAGTGGGCATATGCTGGTGTGTGTGCAACTCTCCTTAAATTATAAATAAGCGAAGAGCAAATGCCGCGTGTATAAAATTAAAACTTCACGGCGGCAGCCTCTTTCTGGAGGTGCGAACAAAAGCGTTTCTGGATGAGAAATCAACAAGCGGGAGCGATTGGAACGGGACAGAAAGGCAATATAAAGCACGCTGTATACTTGTGGATTTATTATGCTAATTTCACTGTCACCTTATCAAAGAGATTTAACAGGGAAATCGGTGGCTTACCTGGCCAGGAATTTTGTACTGAAGTCAGAGAGAGAGAGAGAAAAAGAATTTGAGGAAAATTAAGTTTTCCAGAAAAGAAAAATTGTTGCTATTAAATGTTTAAGATTATAACTTATTCAACTAGAATTCAACCAAACAGACCTCCCTTTTCAGTAAATCATCTTTAATGCTGAACAAGACAGGCATTATTAAATCATCTTTTCCCGCATCAGTTAATATTAAAATTATCAATTAATATCCCTGGCAAACATAATTTATGAAAGTTTAGTAGCTATTTAATCAACTTATTATTAACTCGAGTATAAATGGTCGGAAGCCAAACAAGTGTTTGCCTTTTCTACTTTATTTGACAGCCAACATTCTCCGAACATTAATCAAAAAAGCAACCTCTACTCTCCTCTCTCACAACGAACAACAGAATTTTTATCTATTTTTGTTTACGACATTGGGTTTTGTCAGAAATTTGCATGTTTTCGGTCAAAATTGAATATAGGTACATACATACAAGCTCCTGAAAGATGTTCGAGAATTTATGGCCACAGTTAGTTAGCGTTTGAGGGGGAGAATTAACGGCAACAAAAACAGCCATCGGAAATAAGGCAAGAGTACAATGAGCCTTGTTCCTGCCGCCTGAGGACGTGACAAGCTTTAAGGAGACTGAGGAGGAGCCGGAGGATACCCTGAGGAGGCGCGTGCCTGCGTCTGCCACATGAAGTCAAATTAAACTGTCGGGGCAATAAATCAAAAGACATGAAGGAAAAGCGGTATTTACTTTCCCCGAGTGTCTTGGTGTCTAGATAAGAGTGAAGGTAATCTCTCTCGACAGGATCCAGGCATATGTAACCCTATTTTTATTTACTTTAAAAATTTATCTCAATTTCACGCCTGTTGGTTTTATTTGATGGCTCATAACGAGATGCCTCGTATGCAAATTCGGATAAATGTGACTAAAGTTACAGTAGCTTCAATTCTTAAAATAATTTTGCAGGGAATGTTCTTATTTTTTTAAAGCACGTTCTTCGTTTTAAAGAAATGTAAATACCACAGAGAGAAATATCCTAGTCGAGGCTTTTCATGTTGCGTAGGGTCCATTACCTCCTTATCCTCCCATCAATCACTTGAGCTTTATCTGTGTTTTGTTGGCCGGCCTAATCCCTGACCTAACACACCCAAATTAACTCACATCTTTCGGGGTTCGATCCGGACTCCCGGACACAGCTTACCTAATTACCAGCTGTGAAAGATGGAAAAACTTTGCCCAGCCGCTTACCCTGATTATGTCCCTGCCAACTTTGGCTCGTTACAGGAAAACTTTAGCAAAAGCAATTTGGCCGATAGACAGGAGGACCCAGCTTATCCAAAACTTCCCCAAATCCAAGTCCACACCTACCGTCGCCATCATGTACGGGATGTTGTACGAGAGCGTGCAGCACTACATCCAGCAGGAGTACGGCATGTCCACCTGGAGGAAGGTCTGCGAGATTGTGGAGTGCAAGCACCAGAGTTTCAAGACGCACCAGATCTATCCGGACAAGCTTATGCCGGACTTTGCTGCCGCCCTGTCTGCCTGCACTGGAGAGTCCTTCGACTTCTGCATGAACTTCTTCGGGAAGTGCTTCGTGCGCTTCTTTAGCAACTTTGGCTACGACAAGATGATCCGCTCCACGGGACGATACTTTTGTGACTTTTTGCAATCCATCGACAACATTCACCTGCAGATGCGCTTCACCTACCCCAAGATGAAGTCGCCCAGCATGCAGCTGACCAACATGGACGACAACGGAGCCGTCATCCTCTATCGCAGCGGGCGGACTGGCATGTCCAAGTACCTGATTGGCCAGATGACGGAGGTGGCTCGCGAGTTTTATGGCCTGGATATGACCGCCTACGTGCTGGAGAGCCAGAACGACATTTGTGGCGGCACGGCGGGCCCCATTAAGCTAACAGACGGCCCACTTACAGTGATAGTTAAGTACCGGCTGGACTTTGACAATCGGGACTACATGGCCAAGCGGGTAAACGTGGTCGCCCATCCGTCGCAGCTCAAGATGCCCTCGGTGGACCTGAACATCTTCCTGGAGCTGTTCCCCTTCACTATTGTGTTGGACCACGACATGTGCATCACACTCGCTGGCGAGAAGATAATTGAGACGTGGATTCTGCATAATCCTGGCGTCAACCCTAAGAGCTTCATTGGTAGCCACGTCATGGATCGCTTCAAGTGTCGGCGGCCGAAGGATACGAAAATCGAGTGGGAAACCATTCTGCAAATGCGCACGGTTCTCTTTGAGTTCGAGCTCATCCGCACGGGCCACAATCGAGCCGCCTACGATGCGGCCCTAAACATCGACTACGACACCTTCGACGATGCCAGCCTGAACGAGGCACAGGCGATGGCGCTCGCCAGTGCCAAGGAGTTCAGTGCAGAGAATGCCAAAGAGGAGGAGGCTGCCACTTCGTCCAAGAACGAGATCGATCCGGCGACAGGCCAGCGGCGAACCTCTGTTGGACTGCGTTCCATCCTTCTGAAGGGACAGATGTTCTACATAAAAGACGTGGACTCGCTGATCTTTCTTTGCAGTCCGCTAATCGAGAATCTGGATGAACTGCACGGGATTGGTCTGTACTTGAACGACCTTAATCCGCACGGCCTGAGCCGAGAGCTCGTCATGGCTGGCTGGCAGCACTGCTCCAAGTTGGAGATCATGTTCGAGAAGGAGGAACAGCGTTCGGATGAGCTGGAGAAGTCCCTGGAGCTGGCCGACTCTTGGAAGCGACAAGGCGATGAGCTTCTCTACTCCATGATCCCCCGACCCATTGCCGAACGGATGAGGAAGAGTGAGGAGCATGTCTGCCAGACCTTTGAGGAGGTTTCCGTCATTTTCATCGAGGTCCTGAATGTCTATGACAGTGGTTCTAACAACATCCAGGACGCCATGCAGGCGGTTACCACCTTGAACAAGGTATTTTCGGCACTGGACGAGGAGATCATCTCGCCGTTTGTGTACAAAGTAGAAACTGTGGGAATGGTTTACATGGCGGTTTCGGGAGCTCCAGACGTTAATCCACTCCACGCCGAACACGCCTGTGATCTGGCCCTGCGCGTGATGAAGAAGGTTAAGGCCCACGCTCTGCCCGGTGTGGCCATTCGGGTGGGAATCAACTCTGGACCGGTGGTGGCCGGTGTGGTGGGCATGAAGGTGCCCCGGTACTGCCTTTTCGGAGATACTGTCAATACAGCCTCGCGCATGGAGAGCAGCAGCGATCCCTGGATGATTCAGCTGTCGAACTATACGGCGAAAAAGGTGCAAAAGGTCGGATACAAAGTGGAGGCACGGGGTTTCGTCAAGGTCAAGGGCAAAGGAGAGATGGAGACCTACTGGCTTTTGGAGGGACCAGAGCAATAATTTGGTTATGGTTTTCAACGGTACCATTTTTGTAATAACCTAAGGCACCAGCTTTGCTATCTTTATAAGGAAGCATGAAGCCACACACCCTTAGGGTAGAAGAATAAACCTATGATAAAAATGTACAAACTTGAAATAAATAAATACAAACTGTCGGGAACATATAAATACTTAAGGTTTTGACTTGCAGGGAATTTTTTTAGTATTATTATTATTATTTTTAGGTAAATTATATGGTTGGCATAACACAGTAAAGGATTTTTTATTATTTATTATTTTCTTACTGCGTTTAAAGATTTATTACAACACTTTTAAGATCATTTTAATATTTAAATGTCTAAATAATACCATTTTATATTTTCAAAAAATTAAATTATTTGCAATTTTCAAAAATTTAGTTTATCCACAAACCAATAATTTTTCTTGGGGAATCCCACTATTAAATATCGATACCAGGTAGATATCGTTATCGTTTCTCGACAGTTGACATTCCCGCGCTTCTGGATCAGCTGCTCCAAACAGGCTTTTAAGCTGAATTTTGAATATATCTGATTTCCCCAAACTATTAATCACTAATTAGAGGTAATGACTGGCAGAAAGATGCTGCGCTTCAACTTAATGGTGGCCGTTGGCGAAAACTTTGGCATCGGCCTCAAAGGTGACCTGCCCTGGCATATAAAGTAAGTTTGCAGAGCAGAGATAATGCAGATTTGCAAACTGATTAGATTATTATCCACTATATTCCCCCTTCGCAGGTCCGAGCTAAAGTACTTTAGCCGCACCACCAAGCGAACCAACGACCCTGGCAAGCGCAATGCCGTTATCATGGGTAAGAAAACGTACTTCGGGGTGCCAGAAAGCAAGCGCCCACTCCCGGAACGCCTCAACATAGTGCTGAGCACCACCATGAAACCGGCGGATCTGCCCGCCGACGTGGTGCTGTGCCCCAGTCTGGAGGCGGCGATGCATTACCTAGAGACCGAGGCAAAGGATATTGAGAACGTTTGGATTGTCGGCGGCAGCGGGGTTTATGCCGAAGCCATGGCCTCCACGCGCTGCCACAAGTTGTACATAACCAAGGTCCAGGGGAAGTTCGAGTGCGACACCTTCTTTCCCGCGATACCAGATGGCTTCCACGAGGTGCCTCTCGATGCCGGCACCCCGGAGGGGTTGCAGGAGGAGAACGGTATTAAGTTCGAGTACAAGGTATTGGAGAAACAGGCTGCTCAATAAAATTCTAAACACTTTTATTTGCCCCGCACATCGTCCGCTGTGATTGTATCGCCATCGAGGCCCCTGGCGGCCAGCATGAGCTCGTACAGCTGCACTACTTGATCGTCCTTTAGCATCTCCACGGCCTTTGGGTCCATCTCCTCGCCCAGCTCGCCCTTGGGTTTGCCCCGCAGGCCCAGCTGCTGGGTGATTGTCGAAGCATAGCGCTGCAAGAGATACTCTTCAGAGGATGGGGTCGCCTGGGCAATTACGTAAAACTCACCGCCCACTCAGTCATGAAGAGCTGCGCCTCCATGGGATTGCACTTGAGGTGTCGCCGGAACTCGTCTCTGACATAGTTGTCGCCCAGGGCACGCAGTTCCGCCGGCATTCCTGTGGACAATCGAGGAGAACTTGATGAAGTGGAAGAAGGCTCATCAAAACGCCGATTTCAGCTTACCGCGGTGGAGCCGCAGAATGGTTTTGTATAGCAGGCGGACACGCTGGGGGTGGGTAAGTTGGTTCATCACTATTTTCGACATCCTGAGTTTATTATCTATACATCCTTTATAATACTTTAAAAGTCAAACTGCTAAAAATTAAGTGTTGTTAAAAAATAACAACCCAAAAGAGGTAGGGCTGCAAAATCACCGATACATTATCGATGAAACAGCTCTTTATCGATGTTTAAACATCAACATCAATATTTTTACATTATGTAAAATTATAGTGTTTTTTTTAAACAATTAAAAGCTGATCGGGGGGTTTTTTTTAAGTTTTTCAGATTTTCAATTAATTTAAATAAATTTAATTTAATTTAGATATATTTTGTGACACTAAAAAAACATACTTTTTTAAGGGCTGCATATAAAATAATCATAGGATAGGACGTCTCCTATTTCAGTATTACTTTCCGTAGTTCTTTATAAAACCTATTTTTCATCTATAAAACTAAATTTTTGCTGATAGAATCCCAGTCTCCTTCCCAAAAACTCAACAATGCAATTTCCAATTCACAAAAGGGGCTTTTTACATCATGGTTTATTTGTAGCTTTTTTTGTATATATATAATCACATGTGCAGTGTAGGTTCAATCTGTCGTGAGGGCAAACTTAAAGTACATTTCGCGTGGCGATTGGACTCTGCATCAGAAAACTAACCAATAGATGACATACACACACGCTCTGCATTAACTTTGGCTAACTATTGCACGCCTCTCTCAATACTATACGCCTAATTACACCAAGCACCAAACGGGAGGTGGCGGAGGGGTACACAACATTGTTGTCGTCGTCGTCGTCGTTTGAACAGAAAACAGTTTAACAATCAAGTTTTCTAGTTTTGTTATTGTGGCGCTCCGGCGGCTGGCGGCGCTTGATCCGCCGGCTCCTGCTGTTCGCCAGCAGCATTTTGCTCCGGCAGCAGCGGCTGACCTTCGCCTCCCCATCGGAAGCCACCGGGACGATCCTCGGCGGGCGCTTGATAGTTGCGCTCAATGTGCTCGTTGAAGAGACGTTTCCTAAGGACACAAATGGGATGGATATTTTGGGGAAATCATTTGCTTGCAGGGATGACAACTCACAGAAAATAGGGCGTTTTAATCAGTCTATAGCCGTTGGATAGCGAGGGATAGACATCCTCCAGCACGTAGTAGATGTGGCCGACACCCATCCCGATGATGTCCACCCATACGGTGTTGCCTAGGATCATGGAGCAGCATAGAAGCACCCATGGCAGGTAGGGAGCCTGGAAGTTGAGCACGCCGAAGAAGTTCATTGGCACCAGTGGGTTGCGGCGCGACCACACGTAGACCAGCATTAATGTGAAGGCCTGGCCCAGGAACAGCAGATTGACGAAGATCCCAAAGAAGGTCATCAGCACGCCACCAAAGATGAACATCATCACGAAGTCCGAGCTGCGTCCGCGAAACGAACCGTCCTCCAGCATGCGGCAGTAGCGGTATGTGAACACCATATTGAAGAAGAAGCTGATGCCGATGGTACCGAAGTACAGGAATGTTGTGGCCAGTCGCCAGATCTGGAACTTCCTCACGATCAGAGTGGGGTTAAAGTACAGCTGCAGCGGCGACACCAGGTCTAGGTGCTGGCGAAAAGAACGGAAAGTTGGCAAAGTTAGCCGATTAGACGGTACACGTCACCCTCTGGGTGAAGCTCGGCCCAATCCGGGCCAGACACTTACTACCGCCAGCGTGGTGAGCACACAGACCGTGGTGTAGGCCCGCGTGACCACCGGGATCTCCAGATAGAACTGCCGCAGGGCATTCATGGCGGCTCCTCCGCTGGGCTGGCAGTCCGCAGTTTGGCAAGTCGGGTTTCTGCGGCAGCAGGTGCGTTGTTGTCTTTCAGTTTTGTGCGGTGCGGTGTTGTTTCCGTCGTTGCGTTCACATCCAATGCGTCCGAGCTGTAGTCCTCGGTCGTCGCTTCTCCGGATTGACAGTGCCGGCCGAGTATTCGGCCAATAAAACGAACTCTAAACTAAACCGAAAACTATTATTTTGCGAATTACACTTCTACCTACCTGCAGTAGGACCGTGCGGGGCTGACGGCAAAATACCGTTATTGTCACGCACGGTCCTACTGCGGGTCGCCGAATTGGAAATATATTTGAGTTTCCGAAATAGTCCGTTATTATAAAATTAATAACAGGAGATACAAACCAGAAACTAGAGGAAATCAAAAGTTTTGAATCTTAAAAGATTGCCTTTATATTTGAAAAGAATTTATTGACACAATATTAAACTGCTTCTAGATCTGGAAAAACATCGATATTGAGATTAACAATAACGTTGTTGCTGTAATACATGGGAGTGTGGCAACTTTGTGGCAATTTTTTCTTTAATTGGTTCCCCAGTAGACCTAGAATACTATCCTTGTAAAACAGGTTAAAAAAAAAAAGAATAGAAAATAGAAGACCAGAAAGAAAGGCACACAGCCCGTGTTCTTGAGTCCTTGCATTAAAAAGCGCCAGTATAGTAGAGTAGAAGTGCTGTTCTTCTGCTTCAAAAAATTCTCCATCTGGATATCTAAGGAAATTACGGCCTCCCTAATGTCATCATTCCCTACGAACTCCAAATCGTGGTTTTCAAAAAAAGCCCCTTTAGAAAAGAGGCTTGTGGGCAAGTAGAAAAATATTATGACTTCACAAGCTAATATACATAAGTATTTTAAAACTGAATCTTGAACATACATACTGGTATAAATTATTAATTTATTTAGTTAAAAATATAATATACATTTTAAAACATACTAATTACTACAAGCATAGTAATAACTTCTGTCTTTCGTAATTTTGATGCATCGTGTGGGAGATTTTGAGCAGTAAATAGAGCAGCCGCGCCTTATTAGCACCTCGTGCTCCATCAGCAGGGCCACCAGTTCCGCCGGGGACTCCTCTAGCCATAATTGTGCGGAAAACCATTTGCATCAAAAGGAGTCATCCCACAAATGGAGGCGTAGAAGTGCTGTTCTTTGGCTTCCAAGAATTCTCCATCTGGATATCCAAGAAAATTATAGCCTCCCTAATGAAATCCTTCCACCTTTGTCATATAAACTACAAATCGTGCTTTTTTAACAAAGCGCCTTTAAAAAATTGTGTTCTTATTTTATTTATTTTATTATTTTCATCAGATATAATGTTTCCATATGACAATAAAATATTTATAAATAGACAGTACATGGATATTTATTAAAACATGTTCGATGCCAGTCCAGGCGAATCGGTTTATTATACTTCTGTCCGAAAAATCATCGAAATCTTAGAACTTATAGGTCAAGTTCGTTTTAATATCACTCACAAATTATAAAAATCCTTTCTGGACTTTCTATAAAACAGAAATATATTTACATATATTAAATAGCCATGTGTAGACAACTTCCTCAAAGGTATATTAACGTTTACAGTTTCATACTGGGTATCTCACAGTCGAGCACACTCAACTGTAGCTTTCTTAATTTCTACTTAAAATAACTTACCTTTATTTGCGGTCATACCCCAAAAAAAAGGAAAACTCCAGGCAAACAATTACTATTTTTATACGATTTTAAAACTTTATTTTTAAAGATGAAAATAAACTTTTATTGTGTGTGTGTGTTTTTTTTTTTGTATTTTTCCTTAGTAAATTTTACATAATTTTCAATAAAATAAGTTTTGGTTTGTTTTTGGTTTTTTCGATTAAAAATGTCATATTGTTTAGTTTAGTGTTATGCTCTTGTTTTTACCATTTCCTTTTCATTACACAATTTAAGTATGGTTTGTTTCGATTTTGTCGCTTGCATAAATATAAATTTGTATGTAATAATATTCGCTTAGATCCAAATACTGAATTTACCTCATACACATTTTCATACTCTTCGTGGTGTGATGTAGTGTGGTGTGGAGTGGTGCCGTTTTTGGTTTTGCCTTGCGCTAAATGCACTTTCTAAATGGTAATCCAAATTTCGATTTAATTTTTTGGAATTTTCATTTGCGCGATTTTCTTTACCGATTTTGCTGGCCACAAAATGTGCGTCGCCAAAGTGTAATTTATTCAATTTGCTGGCCTGAAAGTGATTTCCGAAGTTTCCAAAAGTTGTGTACACCAAACCAAAGTATATAACGGAAACGAAATCGAAACCGTAACCAAATCGTGGCTTATACATATATCGCTATGGTTCATGTTCATTCGAAATGAATTAGTTAATCATATAAAGTTAGTATATCGTACTATCGTAAGTGTATACGCGACACATAGTCGATTGTGAAATTTTCTCGTTTCCCAACTTTGTATGTTTCCACCGCGTATTACATTCATATATGTATGCTTTTGCTTTGCTTGACTTTACTTTTCCATTTCTTTTAGTTTTCATTAATTTCGTTTCGTATTCTGGTAAATAGTAATGTGTAAGTTTTAGGGGGGGTGGCGGGACCTCGGGGTGTTGGGTAATTGGGTGTCGTTTCCTATTGTTAGTACATATTCTTATAAATTTAAACTGTGTGTGAAGTGACTTGAATTGTTTTTCTTCCGGCTTCTGATAGAAGCGGAAGGTGTCGCGTTGTCAAGTTGGAATTTCGAAAATATATGCGGCGTCTGCTGGCCTTCAATTTCGCTTACTTCGCACTAATCAAAAATGTTTAAATCAATGTGTGTTAAAAGCTCAACTTAGGATAAATTATGTTAAATCGTATTTATGGATACGCGGGGTTTCACTCTCTCTCTTTCCTCTGTCCGAGCCGTGTGTCTCGGAACCGGGATTTTGTTTCTTGGCCCTTGTATTCCCGCCGCACACGAACCGGAGCAGCTCTCTCCTTCTACCACTTAGTTTACAATTACATTTATAAAAGTTATCTCTAAAGTTGTTTGTACTATTGCTTGGAAATCATTCCGGTCTATTGTTGTATTGTAACTGAAAGTATTCATTTTTCTATATTCTTCACAATTTACGCTCTTAATTGAACTTAAATAAATTTTCTGGTTTGATTTTGGTATCACGATAAATTTCGATCGTTTGCATCCATCAACCGAAACGATGCATTTCCCCGCCCAGCTCTCATTTTCATATATTTTCCCTTCCTGAGAGGGAATTGGGCGGGGTTAGTTTCCTCAAGTCGATCTCTTGTCAATCCTAAAGGTTGGCCGAAACGCTTTAATTCGTTTGAAAAGTTGTAAGCAAAGAACCCTTTACACACCGCGGTGTGTCCTTGTTTCCTGTTGTCAGTGTTTTCAGTGTTATCATCGTAATCGCTCGGTTATACAATGTTCAGCTCAAAGGAATATACATACTTATATATACAAGGTGTGTCGTCAGAGTGGCTGTGTGCGTGTGCTTCTGTGTGGTACATAATCAATTTTAAATTTTGCTAATTTTTGCTAGTTCTTTCCCATCGTCGACTAAAGAAGCGATTACGATGCTGCCAACTCAAGATCTCTGTGTGAGTGTTGGGTGTGTGTGTGGGTTGTGTCTGAGTGTGTTTAGGGATAGGAAGTAGCACAAAAGTGGGAAACGGCAGGTTTCCTCCTTCGTTTTTGGAAAGTCTTATAGTTTATCTGCGATCTCTTGCGCTCTTGGTTTTAGTATACGAATGCATGTGAGTCCACGCAGATCGCCTCATGGGGAGGGGGGAGGTCGAGAGTCCTTAAATGTAGTTTCGCTCTATACCTAAATGCCACCTCTTCAGTATGCCGTTCTCTTAGTTCATCATCGCTCATCCCGCTCCGCTCAGCGGTGAGTCGGATACTTAGTTCATCGCTTCTAAATCTAAATTAAATGTAGCATAGTACATGCAAGTGTCCTGTGTGTGTGTGTGTGTCTGTGTTTTTTCAAAGTACATTGATAGATGAGCAACTCAGCGCTTTATGCGTATGTATAGAGGGTTTTTTTCGGGGTATACTCGTAAATATATATATGTCCTGGAGTGTCTATATCCAAACCTTTGCGTCTTCGTCTCTACTCTAAATCATCAATTTCGCATACATAATGACGTGACTAAATGGAGATTTACGTTAATTTTCATTCGTTTACATACTAAAACTAAATACGTACATATTTATCGCTTACTTAGGTAGTCAATTACAACTTTTTCTAGGGAGTATAGTTGGGACTGGGGTTCATAAGTCGGGGTCTCGGGAGTGCTTTAGTTGAGATTTGCGATCGATTTCCAGCAGCATCTTGGACAAGCTCAAGGAATTCCGTCGGAGGGACACTGTGACCAGGCCAAAGTCTGAGGCAGTTTTGGTTTTTGCTTGCTTTCCGGTCTATTTGGAGCCCTTTCTCATCGTTTACGTTCGCGTTACCGCTCTCGCGTTCACCATCGCTTAGTTTTTTTTTGTTGTTTAATTTGTTTATACTTTTTACACGTTTAATTTTCTTTTATACAATTTTTATTTATAATTTCTTCCTCTTCGTTTGCTTTAGTTACATAAAAAATTAACAGTTTTTATTTTTGGTATTTTTCTTTTTTGGTTTTCCATTTTTTTTTTTCATTGTTACTTGAAGGCACTTTAGATCGGACGTTGTGGCCCCATTTCAAAAATTGCTATTCACTTGCTCAACTCGTGTATCACGTTGCTGCTTGCTGCTTCTGTTGTGTGTTGCATGTTGCTCGAGTGCTATGTAGAGACGTGGTCGCAAAAAAACAAATTAACAACAAAAGCCTAATCCAAAGTTGTTCGAAACTCTGCCGAAAGTTACGTTCGAAATGTTACCGAAATCCTTGGTTCGAAACTTGTCCTTTGCCTTGTCTTCTTCTGTTTTCTTTTTGCTTCTCTCTCGCGCCGCTTTATATTTTGCTTACTTTTTGCTTGTATTGCCTTGAGTGCTATGGTGCGAAACGGATCTGGATGTCCTGGAGTTGCCCGGTCCGCGATGTGCCGATCTTCTGGCGTTCTAACGGACTGGGCACTTTGGTTTTATTTTCGAGGCTTGATAACTGTCAGCTCTTTGGCCCGGCCTATGGATAGGAGCGTCAGGGTTAGGAACTCGAGGAATATGGACTGAGTTGGGCGCACAACCTAAGCTGAATGGGATGGCTTGGTGCTCGGTGAATCGTTAGCAAATCTCAGGGTAGGGGCGTTGGGTTTACATATACATATATGCGGGGTAATGATTGGATATATGGCGAATTTTGTAGAACTAAACTTTGGGGCAAATGGGTTAGGATTCATAGCGTTACCTTTATAGTGTTCGTCGCTTCAGTATCTTTTTTTCTTTACATACACATCTTAATTTTAAGTCGGTCTTAGCCCCACCAAAAACCTTGACTGGTTTCGTTTTCATACATCTAAACATTTACAGAGACGTGGGGGAACATAAATTTAGTTTTTTCTTCGTTTTTTTGCTTTCTTTTCTTGGATTTTTTCTTTTTTTTTAATATTGAGAAAACCCGATAATACATTTGTCACCTTTTACGTTTTGCTCCGAACCGCAGTTAAGAATTTTCTTTTAATTTCGTTTGCTTCTCAGCGATTTTTGTTATATCTGTTTTTGAATTTTGAAATCTGCTGCTGCGATGATTTTGAATTTTGGTTGTTGCTTATATTGGTTTCAATTGTCAGCAAGCTCTGGAACTGATTTACATTAGTTCCTGGCACTGCCTCTGTTGTGTTGTTGTTGACTAGTCATGTTCTTCTTCTGAAGCTTCCTCTTTCTACAGTTTCTTCCCTTCGCTTTTCTGCTCTCTAAATTAACAATTTGAGGCAGACTTTCCACAAAACCCAAACTGAGGGGGAACTAAAAGTGTGCTTTCTGCAGTATCTGTGCCCGAGTCCGAGTCTGAACGGGTCGTCGGATCAGATCGGTGCGGATGAAACTTAAGCTTAGATAAGGTTAACTACCAGGAGATGTATCGAAACTAGCGATTCACGCTTAATTTTGCTCGTAATTTCTAAATGTACATTGTTTTCGTATTAAATTTATTTAAATGTAAGTTTGCTTGTCTTTTTTGGTTTTGCTTTCCCTTTTTTTTGCTTAATTTTTTTTTTCGTATTTTCATTGATTTATTTACGTTCTTAAAGATAAGGCGCGAAGGTGCTTAAAATAAGCTTGTACTTTTTCTGATATTTTCCCCAACACGTTTTTCCAAAATTTCCTTCAGAGTTTCTCATTTTTTCTCCGTTCCGGTCGTCCACTGCTTACTGCTCGTCTACTGCTTTTCCGAAGCGGAAATGCCCTGCTTTCGCTTACATCTTAAGTTTTTTGCTTACGAAATTTTGTGTTCCAAAATTTTGTAATTTTGCTTATAATTTTTGGATTTTGAATTCGTAATTTTCACGATTTTAATTTCTTTTTTAATCCTAAAGTTTTTTTTTGTTTTTTTGTTTTAGTTTTTTTTTTTTGTAAATTTGTCCTGAATGTTTACACCGAGAGAGAATTATCCAAACATGGCCGAGAGGTTTTCAAATTTTGTTATTTCATTTAGTTCATTTCGAGATTGGTTTTCGTACATCCTTGTTTTTCTAGTTGTCAATATCCTTGATGGGCTTTCAAACGCGTTGTGACTCATTGAAAAGTACAATTGTTTTCCTTTTCTTCAAAGGGGAAAGTGAACGGAATTGAATCTAAAGTAATTGCGAATCTTTTTCATAGAATGCTGCCTGTTAATTATTCTAACTTTAATTTTGCTCGTATCCTTTTTAGCAAGCAGTCCAGTCTTCTGAAGAATCAAAATCGCAGACCAAATTTTATGTTTCTTCCCATTGTTTTGGTTATCCCAGCTAATTTTAGTTGCCAAACTGCTAAATGCTGAATTTTATTGTGTGTGTTTCCGAAACTGCAATTTCCCCACTCATATATATTTATTTATCCTTGCATATACATATATGCGTGCGCGTGTCTGTCTGTGAGCGAGTGTGTGTCATATGTTTACATAGGAACATTACCGAAATACGTTTTACATTTAATTTTACACTTATACCTAAAAATCTTTTTTTTTACGGTCTGCGAGTTTTGATCCTGTTCGGAAGGACACTGTACCGCTTGCAGCGCGTCTGTCGTCACATTTGGTTGTCATTTCTATCTGAATCTTCGCCCTAATCCACGTCCGAGATTTGTCTTTGTTTTTTTTTGTTTCCGAAATTCACGCCAAAGTCTAGGCCGAGAGTTGTATTCTTCATTTAGGTTTTCTTTTATTTTTTGGTGTTTTGCAATTACGCAAAATGTTTCTCGATTTCTTGTTAGTTTGCAGCGCGTTGCTTTTGAGCCGAAAGTTAACTTGTTTATTCATTTCTCTTGAGTATTTATATCTAAGCCGAAAGTGTCCTTCGAAATTCTACCACTTGATTGTAATGTTTCCTTAGCTCCTCCTGTAATCCTACTCTGAAAACTGGTGCTTGCTGATTCTGATTCTGGTTTGGGCCTGCTTATTATGTATGTGTGGTATGTATCTTGAAAATTAAAAACTATAGGTAAGCTGTGATGCATCTGTGAACTGATCTTCTTCTCTAGTTGTTGTTGTTGGTTGAACGGCATTAAGTTGTTGTGGCTACTGTTGGTTGTTCTTCTGTCTTAGGTGGCTGATGATGAGTTCTATTTAATGTATCTTTTGGGTATGCTGTATATCTTGTACCTATCTTAGTTGAGTTTGAGTTCGTTTCGTGTCTGTCTGTTCTCCTATGTAGTATCTGCGGTTTGATTCTGATTCTGCTTCGTGTGGCTGACAAAATATAAATCAATTACGGCGACTGCTAAACTATGAGTATGCATTTTAGTTGTTTCTCGTTACGATTATACTTATGCTGACATTCAATTTTGTAGATCCTCCGCTCCGGCGGAGTGTGTCTCGTGTGTGTGTGTGTGTGTGTCCGGGTCGGAGTGTGTGTGTGCGTAAATTAAACCTAAAGGCGGCGTTAGAGGATCTCCAACCGATCTGTCCCAGTTTGCACTTGGCCTATATGATGATGGTGTGAGTGAGTAAAAAAGCATACAAATATCATATATTTCTCGTACTGATTTTGGTTTTGGAACAAACTGCGTATATATATATATAGTAGTTTATATATATATGTAGGTGTGTCTGACTGATTTGCTTTGCTTTCATTCTGCTGTTGCTGTTGTTGTTGCTCGGGTTGGCTTTTTGGTTCCTGCTTAACATTTAATTGAGACTTTTGCTGCATATTCGCTGAAGATCATTTTATTTCGACTGATTTTAGTTTTGTTTTCGGTTTTGTTTTGTTTTTTGTTTTGTGTTTTTTTTTTTTGTATTTTTTGTTGGTTTTGTAATACATATTTAAAATAGCAACTACCATTATCTTGTATTTATTATTATTTGGTTTTGCTTGCATCGAGTTTATTTCCTTATATAAGTAATAAGTTATATATATTTATAGGGTTCTTGTGGATCGTAATGGGGGGGCTGAGTGTGGTGTTCGTGTGCTGGGGTTTCTTCTTGGGGTGGGGGCAGGTCGCTGATCCCGGGGCCAGGCAATTTTCTCTCTGCATTTCCCGCTGGGAAAATGCTACGCAAACGGTCTCCCTCTCGCTCTCGCTCCCTAACTCTTACTTTCCTTTTTAGTTTGTTGCTTGATTTCCGGATTTTCATTACTCAGTGTACATTTAGAACATTTGTTAGCTATGCTGAAATACGGATTACGACGTCTAGAGTATGTATTTTATCTTTATATATATGTCTAATTATATATATATATATATATATATGTCTTTATATAGTTTCACTTATCGTTTAAATGTTACCGGCACTATTGTTCAGAACTAAGAGTTGCTCAATTTTCCATAACGATTGAATGCCTCAACTCAGGCGGCTAATGCTGTCGAAACGTTGTTGATCTAACTGAAGGACTCGACTTACTGAATTCAAATCAAACTAGTCTCACATATAAAAGATTGCTTTATACATGTGTGGTGTGTTGTATGGTTATATTTATATTGGTTGCTCCATCCCAAGACATTCTTCGTTGCTCCTCCTACTTCCGCTTCCTGCTTCTCCCTGCTCCCGAACTAAATAAAATCTTTGTATGAACCGTGAACTGAAAACTCTCTGCTCCGCTTTGCTACTCTGCCTTGCTGCTTATGCTGCTGCTGCTGCTGTTGTTGTTGTTGTTGTATTCGAACGAACTGAGGAGATGATGCTCAACTGAAAACTGGCTGGAAAAACTGCGGCGCCAGGCCCCCTTGACTTGATTAGGAGGACGTACTGGCGCCGTTTTGGCTTGTCTATTTCACTATTGGTAACTTAAATGGTAAATTGTTTCTGTGAAAGGCAACTGTTGCGCGTGGAGGCCGCAGCTCTGTTGTCCAGGACTCGTTTCGTGTGGATAATGGGATCTTGGGGGGTTTGGAACTTGAACTGGGAGTTGGGTATTTTTTGTAAGCTGCGGCTCCCGCTCGGTTTGTTTGTCGTTTTGCTATATTTAGTTGTATATGCTATTGTAAAAAATATCATTATAAATACTTTTGTTTATCGGTTGCTTACGTTTACGGCTCTCGTTACGCTTTGGGTTACGGTTACGGTTAGCTAACTGTTACCTTAACGCCTACTGTGGTTGCTGTTGCTGTGTTTTTGTCGCTCTCGCTGTTCTGTTTCTGTTGCTCGCTTTTGATTTGATCGTTAGCATCCGCTATATACGCTCAATATATAGCTAGTACAGCTAGCGATGGCTCTGTAAACTTATACATTATAAAATATCTGATCACATTTGTTTGCAGTCTCTGTATAAATATTGTTGTTTCATTTGTGTTCGCTTATCGCCTTCGTTTTACGTTAAATTACTTTACATATTGTACACATGCCGCGCCCAGTTGTATGGGGCGCCCGGCATGCCGCCTCTCGCTCTCTCTCTCTCTCTATCTGATAAATCATAGGTCGGGGCGATCGATCGAAACCTGGATCGATGGCCGAGAAGGAAAAACGTTTAACTGAAAATCGATATTTGTTTAGCTTTTTGTCATTGGCTCGTTGGAATTGCGTTTTTCGTTTGCTCCTACAGTTGTTTTACATAAAATTTCGTGTAGAATTTTGACAAACGTCTGACCCCGTTCCTGGCTATATATTTTTTTATATATATCTATATCCGATATTCAGGGGCTAATGCAACACGGCTGCTTGCTTCTTGGTGGTTGCCAATGGGTGCGATTTCGTTTTGGTTGTACTTCAGTTTGACGACGGCTGGTGGCGCGCCTTTAATCCTCGAAGGATTACAAAGGGCGCCCAGTGGGAAATAATAATAATATTGCTGGGCTATTGTCTGGGGGCTGTCTTGGGTCCCCCGTCTCGATATGCGTTTTGTCAATTTTCACCTGTTTATTGCTGCTGCTGCTTCATTTGCATCTATGCATCTGTATATCTGTAACTATTTGCTTTATTGTGTGTGAGAGTAAACCAAAGGAGTTTTGCAGTTCGTTTCGCAGGCCATGGCACGCCCCGTCTATATACCTTGGATATACTATATACCATCGATTTGTGGGCCAGGAATGGAGCCAGTTAAACGCACGCAAAGATTTGTGGCTCATTGATTGATTGATTGAGTGGCTGCTCGTAAGAGAATTGTGAAACAAAGGGTTTTTATCACTTATTCTTGTTGTCTATGTGAGTCGATCTGAGTGTGGCACCCGCTGGGCTGGGCGACATGCCTGTTCCCTGGTCGGACTGGGATCTATCCGGATTCTGGGCGGGCTCACGGGTTGCTTAAAGTTTTGATTGTGGCTACTTGTCGTCGCTTCTCTGTTCCCTCGGGTTCAGCAGGCAGGCATCTTCTTCGGGGCTTCTTCGTCGTTTGATTTACTTGGGGCGGTCTTTTTGGAACCGCCATTCTATGGGCAATTTCTTGTGTGGCGTGACCTGCAGTCGCAGTCTCCGGAGAGATCCCATCCGGGGGAGCATGTCTTTAACGGGGGTCACGGGCACTCAGATCTTCTCCTGATTCGTAAATGAAAACATAATTGTTGCTGTTGTCGTTAATTGCTAACTGAAGACCTCGGTGAACGAACTAAAAGTTTTGGCTTATTTGGCTAATTGGCTATTGCTGCGGTTGTTGTTGATTGATTTCGTTTCAGTATAAAAATATAAATCGTTTTATAAAAGTTATTGGTTGCTGTTGCTTACTCGTTATTATTATTATTATTTTTGTTATTAATTTACTTTGTTTGCTTGTCGCATGTATTGTACTATAAATTATCCCGGTTCGTGCGTGGCACGCTCGTCTATTGCAAATGAAACTGTGGCATAAAATCTGATTCGATTCTCGATTCCCGATCGAGCTCGGTCAAAATTCAACTATAAACACTTATGGATTAGTTTTGGTATTGGTTTATATGTATATATATTTATATTTGTATTCGGTCATGGGTAAATATTCAGTTATTCAGTTATATTCTGTGTAAAATTTGAACTGAGGATGGCTTAAAGACTCAACACAAAGGAATATGTATTCTCTCTCTCTCCTATATATCTCGCTCCCTATATGTATGTATATATAGCGTATTTATCTTTGATATGTGTAGACAACCCAAAAAAAGTTGCTGCTGGAAGTGCTCTGTGTTGTTGTTGTGGTTAAAGATCTTCTCCGTATTGTCGCTTCTAATTGGGCTTCGTTTCTCGATTTTTTTCGATTTTTGTTTTGGTTTTTCGCTTTGTATATTTGAGTAAAAATATTTATTGTTGTGGTTGTGGAAAACTGTGAGAGATTAACTCAAAAATATCACATACGAGTTGCGTATGTTTCCCTGGCTATTGTTGGCTGTTAAAACTAAATGGCAAATTCTCCTCATTCCTGGCTTCACTGTTATCGGTTACTTAGGTATTTTGTTATCGTTGTGGTTTTTATTTGGTTATCGTTTCTGTTTCGTTTTTTATGCAACTTTCTCTTTATATTTTTATACTTTCTCATGTGCTTTTTGTTCGATGATGTTGTTGTTGTATATATATCAATTTGAATTTCGAATTTCCATGGGCAATATATTTGCATTGCGGCCGAAATGTTGGGTTTACGTCATAAGCCAAAAGTTTTAACATCTCCCTTCATAAACTTCAAAACTAAGGATGCGTAAGATTGATTCCTGATTGATCAACTGAATAAATACTATTAGTTACTCTGGCTGCTGTCTGCAGAATTGCTCTGCCAAGAATTTTGATCTTTAAACTAAAGTCCGTTGGTGCGGACGCACAGTGCATGTCGAAAGTGTGCGCACTGTGCGCCGCTCTATTGCAGTTTGTTTAAAAGAAAGATGTGGTGCAGGTGGAACTACACCACTTGGTAAACTCCTACCTCCTCTTCTCCTCCTTCTTCTGCTTCCTAAACGTCTTCTTCTGATTCTTTCTACGCCAAATAAGTGATAAAAATTTGACTTCCAAACGGAAGTGTTTGGTTTTTCGATTTTTTTGGGCCAAAAAGTTGTTGGGAATTTTGAGAATCGCGCTTGCTACTAAAAAAACGCAATCATTTTTTGGAAATATTCATCGCCGTGTTAATAGATTTTTTCGTTTTCGTTTTCATTTATCGTTTTTTGTTTTTTTGCTTTTATATTATACCAAAACTGCAAATTTTTGTGTGCTTTTATTTTACTTTGTCTTCTTATTTGCTTCCCTTGTGATCAGATGTCTTCCAAAATAAGGATGTTTAACTAACTTATGGTTAAGTTGAAGTTGAAGTTACGAATAGATTTGCTTTGATTTTTACCATGGAGTAATGTACCCTACGTGTAAGTTTGACTGACTTGCTTCAGTGTTTTTGTGCGTGTGTGGGCCTGCCAAAAGGGGATCTGCTTGATATATATACCGATTTGAATTTGGCACATGTCCTATCTCTATCCCCCTTTCCTTCCTCATCGTCCTTCTGCCGGGAACCGTTCTGCGCGCATTTTCAATGCAGTAAAGCTATGAGTGAATTATGGCCTGGCCTTGGACAGATTTACCATTCTTTTGGGGGGTCTGGGGCTGGTTCAAAGTGGGTCGGGGTCGCTTATGCTTAAACTGTAGTAATATTTTAATTACGTGTATGTAGTTGTATTTAAATGTCGCTATGTACAATTCTGATCAATTTCTGTTATTGTTTTCTTTTTGTTTCTTGTATTTCAGTAATCAGTAATCGGTAAGTTTGGGTATTTGTTTTTCTTTTGGTTTGCTTGGTAATCTGCGGTATTGATGCTTTTAAAATCTAGTTAAAATTGCATATGGCTGCGTCTGCTTTTATATTTTGGTAATTGGTTTACTTGTAGTAGGTATATACTTATCTCGCCTTTCATCTCGCTATCGCTTTCATCGTCTGCGTCTCGATTAGTCCAGTAATCGTTATCGTTTGATAATGCTTTGAGTGTGCTTGATACTTGCTGATTGACCAACAAGGGTCGCTGATTGGCTGGGTTTCCGTTTCCGGTTGTCGTTCTCCGTCTGGTTCTCTGCTTCTTCTGCTGCTGCTGCTGCTCCACTTAATCTATATGCTTAGGCTAACTTAGTTCCTGGGTGTAAACTGTACCTGGCGACCCACGGCAGCAGCAGCACGGCCGGCGAAAACGAGGAACGAACTTGCTCTGGCCTATGGCTGATCCTTGGAGGATCTTTTGTGTTCTTTTAGAATTTACCAACACCAAAAGGTTGCTCTGGAGAAACTAAACTCTATTCGCGTTCTTTTTGGCTGCTCGAGAAGACGGAGGCCGAAGGGTGATGGGCTTGGTGGCTAGAAGACTGCCGCGGCTGCTGCCCGCGGATTCGCCAGGATTCGCTGCCGCTTGGTTTGCGTCGCTCGATTAAGATGAATTATGGAAATTTCGCTTACCCTTCTCGTCTCTGCGCTCCACCGACTAGTTGAGTTGTTCATATAGTTGTAGTTGATAAAGTGGTAATTGGGTTAGTGAGGTGTGTGAAGGTGGTGGTTTTGTAGGTGCCAATCAGTTCCAATTTAGCGGTGACAATTGCCGAAAGCTTCTGACGGAGTTTGGGGGAGAGTTGAACCGAAAAGTGGGTGCTTTAAAGGTTGCCAAAAGTTAGGAAAGGGGGTATTTTTCATTTTTCTTTTTTGGTAATTTTGGTAAATAAAAATCCAAGCGCCGTCATTTGTTTTGTTTTCTGTTTTCTCAATTAATTTCGCATTTATTAACCAATTATCGTTCGAAGCGGACCCTTTGGGGGCCCGCCCCTTGAATTGTTGACTTAAGTTTAAGTATGTATGTTTATGTTTAGTATAAATGTATGAAATATGTAAGTTGCATTAAATATACGCAAGTGTAAGTGTGCTCAAGTGTCAATTGTTGGTACGCAAGTATGTTATATCGGTTCATTCGCCTTCCTTTTGAAGTAAAAACTTATGTGTGGAACTGAACAGAACAGAAAGGGTTGATTGCTCAATTTGATAGTAATTTTTCCTGAATTTCGACGGCCTAGATACTGCTTCTTTTTCGTGCTATTTCTCGAATTTCGCTTAAATATAAAATTTCGCCTAAAGTTTTGTTAGCCAAACGTTTATTGTTAATACGCCTTAAATTGCCTAAATGGGGTTTCGTCTCTCAATAATTTCGCTCGTCTCGCAATTGTCAATTAACTATTTTTACATCAATCAATAATTTCGTATGGCGACCTCCGTTTTGCGAGGCCGCACATATTGGTTTTATCCGAAACAATAATGCAGTTAGTTCGATTTTTAGTTTGTTGTTAGTTACTTTTCTATCACAAAATCAGTTACAATTGTATTTAAATCAATTTCATTTTCTTTTTCAATTCATTTTCAAATTTTCAAATCTCATCTCCATTGCCAAAAGTCGCTTCCTTCGTAAATTTTGTAAAGGCATTAACAATCAACGCGTCTCTCCTTGAATTTCGACTTCTGTCTGCTGTGAATTTTGCTTTAACTCAGGGGTTAAGGGAACTCAACGGGGTAAATGCGATAAACTTAAACTTCAGTTCGATTAGCGAATGCCTCGTCTGCCTCGTCAGCTTTTGTTTTGTACGTTTCCCTAAATACTAATTTCGCAAATGCAATTTTTCCTTTTCAGTTATCCAAACTTCATTTTCAATTTCAATTTTTATTTCGATTGAAAGGATTCCAATTTCTTCTCTAACTCGCCTTAGATTAGGAAACTCACCGTCTTATACGCGACTAATTTTGCCATAGTTATGCCAAAAGTGCGATTTTGCTTAAAAACTCGCTTAGTTTTAATTTGGTTTTAGCTAAAATTCAACTATTGTTCAATAATTTCGTGATCATTGTGGTGGCCGAAAGGTTTGCTGGGGTGCGACGATCTCCTCGTCCTTGTCATCTGCTCCTTATATAGCGGTGTTCCCATCTAATCTAAACTCCAACCTGAGGGCGCTAGGGTTCCGTTCCGGACGGGGGCAAGGGGCTGGCCAAACTAGGTAACTGACAAACTAACTAACTGGCTGGCTGGCTGACTGGTGAAGCTCCTGCAGGAGCAATTGTTGGGCCGAAATACTAAATTTCGCTTCGTTCGTTTCAGTCGAGGAATATGGTTTTGTTGTTTGCCGAATATTTTTTCTTAAATGTTTAGCATGCTTCGATGATGTTTGTTTGTTGTTGTTGTTGCAGTTGATGATGTTGTTGCTGTTGCCGTGTTGCAGTTGCAATTTGAAGATGGTAAATATTGCCACTGCTGGAACAACAGGGTTTGCCCGCCCCATGGCCCCTAAAAAGTCGCCGGGCGGAGAGCAGGCAAACATATCCCTCTAAACCCGCCCACTTTCCATGCTGAGTCTGCTGTGCTGATGAGTGAGAAGTGCATGATCGATCTCAGCCAGCCAGATGTTTGGAATTATAGTCGTAAATATATATCATTTGATCGAAAACAAGAAGAGTAAAAAACCATATTTATAATTTGTATTTTTGGTGTTTCGTGTATATTTTGTTTTGTTGCAACTCAAGGCCAAGTAAAGTAAATTAATTAAACTAAACGTTAACTTAATTAAACGTATAAATTATTTACATAAATAACAGACTAGTGTGTGGTGTGTGTTTGTTTTTTGTTTGTGATGTGTGTGTGTGTTGATTATTCTATAAAATTAAGACGCGTGCTCAAATGTGGCGCACTAAAGGATAAGAATTGATTAAAAATAAACCGTATTCAAAGGATTCATGTTAACAATTAACTTTGGTCGAAGGTCTTGCATAACGTATTGTAAATTATAAATTTAACTACCCTAACGCCCGCAGCTCGAACAAATTTCTCTGGCTCTCGCTCGCTCGCTCTTTTTAAAAATCTAAATAGTTTTTTTTGTTCGCAAATTTCTTAACGTTTTTTTTTTTGTGATTTTTGTTTAGTTTCGCTTAATAGACATCGAATATATGCTTAGCGCTTAAGGGGGGATATAGCAACCTTAACTTTCGGGTGTCCTTTAAATATTAAATCCCGAATTTCGGCCGTCAGAGCTGCGCCTGCTTTTGTAAAGCAGTGCGAAAGCTGTGAACGCTCGAGTCGGGCGGAAAACTGCTTACCGGAAAGTCGGTCTGTCAAGCAGGGCTTCTTCCTGTTTGGCAGAGCGACTTTCGTTCTCTCAAATGAACACACACTTTGTACCGTTGTGAGCGTGTGTGTGTGTGTGTGTAAGGTGTGTTTTTGTGGAATGCTTGTGTGTGTTTATGTTTCGTGCGTCAACTTTCGGTAGATCATTAGACGGCTCAACTATTTGTTAAATATTATTCATACGTATACGTAATCTGCTGTAAATATTTTCAAAAAAATTTCAACTAACAAACCAACGGCGAGTACAGTTTACACTGCCTGTAAAGTACGCTCGGTGTGTGGGTGTTCTCAGGTGTGTGGCTCAGGTTTCTTCAATTTGCACTATTTCACATTAGATTAAGACTTGCTGCTGCTCTACATTCTATGTTTCAGTTTTGGTGAATGCAAGGAGGCAGGGGAGGATCGATCTCCCTGGCTCCCTTCACATTCTGGTCGCTCATTTGCTGAGGTTCAGTGTATTTGGTAATGTGTCTGTGTATGTGTCTTGTGGTTTTTTGGAAATTTTTGAAAAAATATTTTTCTTGTTTGTGGCTTCTAAACGCGTTTTTCTCACGAAAAAACTCTATCAAGTTCTTGTTAAATCCGTTTTTAGTGTGTTATTTGTTGTGTGTTCTTTTCGGTCGGGGAGAGTTGGTCATATCATATCCAGTCGTGCTTCTTACGCAGATTTAGCCTTTTAACTTTGGCTTGCGCTTCGCCTTCGTATGGCTGCTGCCGGGCCTGGAGTGGCTGGTGGTACTGGTGCTGGTGCTGGTGCTGCTGCTGCAGTTGGTGGTGTTGGCCGGACTGATGGGCGGTGGCATTCCCATTCCCGTATGCGTATGCGGCGGATGCAGCAACGGCAGCGGCAGTGGCGGCAGGCTCGGCAGCGCCAGCTCCTCCACTTATTCCAGCTGCTCTAAAAAATTGGGCGACTTGAAGTACTCGGGCACGGGATCGTCCATGCGCGAGATGATCTTGTATATGGACTTCTTCCACGACTGCTCGGTGTCTTTGCCACCCTGTATTGCACGGAAGAACTCCCGCAGAGTCTGTTCGACCACGAAGCGGAAATTCTGGGGTACCTGTGGACCGATTGTTTCTCGATTAGCGATTTGCTGGCTCCCAGTTGAGGTCATCTGTTGTTGTTAGTGGTTCTTACGGATTCGCCCGAACTCGCGATCCAGCATCCACGCACCGCGTGTGTGTGTGTGTGCATGAAGGATCGGTTCGGGGGTGGGGACTTTGGGTCATGTGTTAGTGTTAGTGGGTGTGGTGGGTGGGCGTGGTTATTGGCATACCTCAATGTGGTTATTGCGATTGTAGTGCAAATTGAGCACGCGATACAATTCACTATCTCCAGCAATCAACAGATCATCGGGTGTCTTGATGCCTTCGGTGACAGCTTGTCGTGCATATTTCTCCATTTGTATGTAGTAGAATTCTCTGCAGATGCGTAGATGAGGAATATGTTTGGATTGGTCAGTATTCTGGTTTTTGATTTCTTAACTATTCTATGGTGTGGGTTTTATTTTATTTTTTTAAATTTGTTTTTGTTGTTCAGCATTCAAATTTACAAAATCGCAACGCAAACGAAAGAATAAATAAGGTTCGAACCAAGGCGGGGGATTGGGAAAAACAATAGGGGGAAAGTCGTAAAAGTGGTAAACCAAATTCAAAGGAAATCGCTAATGCTTGTCTCGCTCGCTCGCTCGCTCGCTCTCACTCTCGCTCTGATTCTAGAGGTCCCTTTGCTGGCTTAATGCATTATATTGGATCGCTGTTTGAGTATGACATTATTAATAATTCGCTGCATACTCTTAGGCGCGCCCCAAGTGCTTCTGGGTGTGTCTGAGTGTGGGGGTGTGGCTCAGTGGCTGTGTGTCTGTGCGGGAGTGTGTAAAGAATTTTTAATAAATCTCAAATGTGCAGCAGCAGCAGCAGCAGCAGCTCGTCTCGTGGTGGTGCAATAACAATTGCAAGTCAAGGCGGCATCTTCTAGCTGCGGTTTTATCCCATTTTCCGGCAGCTGCCTTGGGGGCTGGGGATTTAATTAGCAAGTGCAGCGGGCTGCTGCTGCTGCTGCGTCGCCTTGTTTAGTCAAGTGATTTGTGTGTGGGCTGCCATTCGCATGGGGGATACCGTATACCGGAGGACATTGTGGGGGTGGTGGCGGATTCTGGGCTCTATATATAGATATATTATGCCTTACTTGGCAACTGTAAGTGATTGCTTGTCTTCCGGCCTGACTGCTCTCCCTCCCTCTCTCTCATTCTCTGCTCCTCGCACGGATCCTGCATTGTCTGGCGCGCACTAATTGTTGTCTTTTCGCTGGAAATCCTTTGGCTCCCATCCGCCTACTCGCTGCCTACTCTCCCCCTTGACAACGCTCCGATAATCGCGCTAATTTCAAGATTTCCCAGTAGCAGCGCCAAATGCATTTCTCATGTTGTGCGAGTGCCGCTCGTGTTGATTTTTCCAAACAATAAGCGCAGAATACGCAAATAGAAAATCTTTTCCTTCTGGCCCCCAGACCCATTCGTTTATTTTTTATTTTTTGCCCTGCTCCCCGGAGGCGGCAGCACTTGAACAGCGGGGCGCTTGCCAGGGATTTGGAACTGGCCGGGGATAATGAGGCTAGGCTAGGCTGTTGGCTTGGCTTGGCATTGCTTGGCTTGGCTTGGATTGGCCGAAAGAAAGGCATCGCTTGGGTGACAGCTCTCGCTCTGTGTGTGACACAGTCCATTGTGCGGCGGGTGTCCATAGTTATTAGGGATTGTCGGGATCTCATCCGTTCGCGCTTAGAATTGCGCGCTGAATTGCAATTAGCTTTGTGGCTGGTGTGGCAAGGGCTTGAGGCGATCCTTGTGCGCACACACATGGGGCCGGGCAGGAAAAGGAAGCTGGGCGCTTTCGAATGCGCCACTTAATTTAGATAATAAGCCGTGCAAGTGCAGATGCAGATGCAGATGAGACGCAGGGGCAATTGCAGTTGCCGTTGCGTTGGCGTTGGGGCTTGACGGAAGTGCTAATTAGTTTGCATATTATTTTTCGTAGCCTATTTATTTGGGACTCGCACCCACACACGCCGATAGAGAGAGAGAGAGGGAGAGAGAGAGGAAGAGAGCATGGGAGGGAGAGAGCCACTAAAACACTTGTTGAAAGGCAGGCAGGCGTTGCTTTGTCAAGAGCATTCATCTCACCTCCCTTTTGTATGTGAGAGTGTGTGCTCGTGTGTCTGTATGCGTGTCGATGTGTACTTGTGTGAGGGTGTGTGTGCATGTGTCTCCTTCTTCGCTGCACCTTCTTTCTTCTTCATCTTCATCACCATCATCATCACCATCATCATCATCATTATCATCTTCTTCGCCGCTTCCGCAATCAATTGCGAAATCGTATGCAGTTCACGAATATGTTTATTAATAAGCTCACACATACTCACCCACACATATGCAGACATCTCTACCTCATACATTAATGAAGTAATTGGCAACACTTTCGTATTTGTATCTATATATAAGCATCTGTACACAAGTCATATACGTCTATATACATACAGAATGGAGCAAGTATCGTATCTGAGTGTGTCAGTGTGTGTGTGTCTGTGGGTGGCTCGTGTATGTGTTGTGTTCACATATACATATGTATCGAAGTACAGCAAGAAGATCTTTTCACGCGACGAGGAGAGCGGGGCTAGAAAGGGGGCGCGGGGGGTGGGTGAAGCGCCAAAAGGACACTTAACCTCAAAAAAATAAAGGAAAGTGGCTTGATGAGAAACAAAATGCATAAAAAGAACAGCAGGAGATGTGGGTGGGATGTTTTGTGTGTGTGTGTGTGTGTGGGCGTATCCTTGAGCGCCTTTTGCCAGTAGGGTCCTGGCCATTGTGCTCGAGACACTCAAGTAGCTCAGCGCAGCCATGAAAGGCGGCCGAAAGAAGCCCGCTGAATATGTATGCGCCGGCAAACAAACTAATTAGCCCGCCAGGACTCTGCTGAATGCAGGTCCTTTGCCGCTTTCTTTTCATTATTTGCATTTTGGCGAGCTAACAAAACGAAGTTACTGCAGCTAATGCAATTATATAAGTGGCCTGCTTGAGGACCTCGAACAAAAGGCACTTTTGTTAATTAGCCAACACACACATGTTGGATTCCATAAGTGTGGGCGCGAGTGAGGATGTATGTGTGCGAGTGTGTGGGGAGCATGGGGCGGCGCACTTAAGTAGGCAACACTTTTTAATATGCCCGCGCCACAAGTTTCTTGGGCCCCCAGCTCCCCGCTTTTTTCACACTTGACTGTAACTCTCCAGGCAAGCTGGCAGGCCCTCGAGTGGCAACAAGCTCATCCTGCGAGACTCATCTCCACCAGCAGGAGCGCTCCTAGCCCCGGCACTTTTCTTAAGTGCCCACTTTGGGCAACATGTTATTAGAGCCCTCGGCCCAGTGTCTATATGATGTGTGTGTGTGTGAGCGGTGTTCGGTGAGTGTGGGAAACTCATAATATTAACTAGTGGCTAGGAGAGAGCAATAAAGCTGTTAAAAATATTCATTTCCCGGGTTAATGGCGGGGTAAAAAGATTACAAGAAGGGAAAGCATTCTTTCCCCTCGAGAAGAACAAAAGGAAAAATCATAAGCTGAATCTCATGTGATAAGAAACTAAACGTAAAAACCGTTACATCAGAGCTACCCCTAAGAAAACGTAAAGAAACAATCAAGAACCAGTTAGGAAATCAAAAAATATTCCCACCCATTTTAACCTCTCCGCCCCAAGAAAAAGTCGAAGTCGAGAGATGCCGAAGCCTGTTCCCCGATTCCCAGGCAAAGTATAGGGTTCGCTAATGTTAACTTGCGGCGAAAAGGGATTGCAACCCCAAGAAATCCCCTTTGGCCAGAAATTCCGATAAACCCCGAGCGTGCCGGGTCTTGATTTGTTGTCTTTTGTGTTCTGTCGGTCGGTCGGTCCTTGTGCGCAGTGTGCGCAGGTAGGGAAATCCGCAGGGCAGGGGAATTTCTTGGGGTGTCTCGAGGACAATTCCTTAAGACGTTGCGCATGTCTTAGACAAATCGGAGTCGGAGGCAGCTGCTAAGCCGGCATTGAAAGAGGGTTGGAAGGCTCAGGCTCAGTCCAGGTGAGACCCTGTGCCACGCTCTGTTTTCTTTCTATTTGTTGTTTCTTTTTTTTCGGGGCGGACAGATGCGGCCCGGATTTGGCGCGCAAATCACAGCGACTGCATGCGGGCCTACCTCACTTCACCTTGGTTCCGTACTCTGAATACCGAGCCGATCCCTTCGGTTTCGTTCAGTTCGGTTCACCCCGCTCGGAATTCCCCGGAATGGTGCGGCAGCTGTCGTTTTTCCTTTGGTTCTGCTCTTTTTTTTTGGCAACTTCTTGCGCAATTTCATGGACTGACAGTTGGAGTCGCGGAATGACAGCAACAATGGGGTGTTGTGTTGCATGTGGCGGGGAGTCTTCTTCTTGAGTGCAAGTCGAGGGCTTCGACAGGTGGCTGTCTGGCTTTTGGGTCTATCAATTTCCCCCCGAAAACTTAAAATCAAACTCAGGCGACAAACGAAATCATAAAAATGAATGCTGTTCCAATAAGCTATGTACTAAAAAGGATTGTTAATTGTTAACTTACCGGAAGTTTGAGAACCATTTCACCAATTGTGCTGTGTTGTTCTTGTTGAACTTGATGTCCGGGAAGTACATCTTGAGCACCGCGGAGCTGGGATAGCGCACCCAGAAGAACATCAGCTTGGCCTTGCGCAGGTGCATCGGTGTCAATGTAGAAGAGTGCAAAGGAGTCAAGGATTCGCAATGTCTGGTGGCGTTATAGATATGGTATATATATGAGATATTTGTCTGATGGTCGATTGTCTTTCCAAATTTCCATGTCGTGTGTGCCAGAGCTCGGCCGAGTATAGTTTGTGTGTGGGGTAGAGTGAGAGAGATTCCATTCGATTCGAGGGGATTGGATTGGCAACGTCTAACGTGGCTGCACTTTCGAGTGCCAATAATGAATGTCTAAGGGTGCCACCTCGCCTGCTCGCCGAGCCCCCAGCTCCTCCTTGAACCCACTGATTGAAAAAAGCTAAAGCTCAGCCGAGAGCGGCAGGGAAGGCAGAGGAGGCGGGGGCCCGGCAAGAGGCCAACGAGTGCAGCTCTTTCGATTGGCTGCTCGTCATTGATTTTTTCCATTTCTGTGGCTGTTGCGAAATGCAACTCAAGCCAGGCCAAGTCGATGATGATGATGACTTGAGGGCCCGCCTGGGGGTCTTTTGGCGAGGGGGCCAAGAGTGCCACACAGGAGGACGGGGCAGGGCAAGGCGGGGCAATAAATAAGGTTTTGATTACATTTTATAAAAGAATTTAGTTGGGGAAATAAATAAACTGAAGAAGACACTTGATTGGTTTCGTTTTGTAAGCGAGGTCCGGGTCGGGTTAAGTACCTTCTCGCCCCGATACCTCACCCTCGTTCTCTCTTTCTCTATTCCCCCCAATCCCCGCCAGCTCTGGCACACACAACAGTTCGGAATGGGTGGAAACTCACTTGACCATCAGCGACTCCGGCTCGGAACCAAATTGCATTTGCTTGTAAAAGGATATAGTAGGCTGCATGCCATCGAACTGCATGTCGGCCGAGTTGCACTCGGATTGGCGATCCTGGGCGTCCATGACGGCCCGCAGGCAGGTCTTGTAGTCCGGCGATCCGCCGTGGTGGGCGGCTGCCAGCAGGGCGGGATGCAGCATAGACGGCGGGTGGGGCAGCGGCGGCGAGTCGCGCGAGTCCATCAGCGCCCCCAGACTGCCCGGCGGACTCGAGGACAGCTGCATCTGCTGGTGGTGCGGGTGGTGCTGTTGGTGGTGCTGCTGGTGCTGATGCAACTGGGCGGCTGTTGGCTGGCCAGGGGCCGCGTGCGGATTGAAGAACGGCGAGTACGGCGAAAAGACCTTGGACTCGTGCAGCGACGGATTGGGAATGGCCACCGAGGTGGGCAAGGACACCGGCATCATGGGTGGTGGTGGTGGCGGCGGCTGTGGGTGGTACGCAGCTCCTCCGCCGCCCCGCGTAGGACTTTGGGCGGGCGTGGCATTGCTATTACCGCCGTTCGCCGTCTGTTGCTGCTGCTGTTGTTGTTGCTGCTGCTGTTGCTGCTGCTGCTGTTGTTGCTGCTGCTGCTGCTGTTGGGGCGTGGTAGGGGGTCCACCGTTGGGCGGCACCACGCCATCCTGGGCAAGGATGCGGCTGACGGTGCGCGGGGTGATGCGCGTATCGGTTACCTTATGGCGCTTCTTCTTGGGAGTGACCACCAGGCTAAGAGCCTCGTTCTGCTCCAGCTGCTGCTGCGTTTGCTGCGCACTCTGCTGCTGCTGCTGGGCGGACTGTTGCTGGGCGGACTGCTGCTGCTGCTGTTGCTGCTGGTCGGGCGGCAGGCAGAAGGGTCCGGTCATCGAGTTGTAGAGCGCGGCGGCGGCCACCGGATTCATTCCCTGCGGCGTCTTGGGCGCCTGGAACATGGCAGCCGCTGTGGGCGAAGGACGTATGTGAGGAGGTGGAATATTAAGGGTACTTAAGCTATTGTTAGTGGAATTCGCTGGCCCGCCGGCCGTGTTAGTATTGGCGCCGGGATGATCCCCCGACTGCTGTTGCTGCTGCTGCTGTTGTTGCTGCTGCTGCTGGGCGGACATGGCTGCTGCGGCGGCGGCATGGTGCATTTGCAATCCCATGGCCGCGGCTGCAGCGGCGGCGGGCGAGGCAAAGGACAGCTGGCTGCCATTGAGGCGGGGGGCGGCTATCAGCTGCTGGCAGTTGGGCGGCAGCAGGGGATGCGCTTGCTGCTGCTGCTGCAAGTGCTGTTGCTGCACTGCGTTTTGCTGCTGCTGCTGCTGGGAGCCCGGATGTTGTTGTTGGGCACTTGGTGGCTGCTGCTGCTGCGGCGCATTCTGCTGCTGCTGCTGCGCACTCGCCCCGCTCGCCGGCGGTTGGGAGGGCATCTGACTATTAGCTAGGAGTAGTGAACCATTATTACCTGATTGTGTTGCGGGCGCGGGTCCGTTCTGGGGCCGGTCCGCCACCTTGGTGCGCGGCGACTTCCGGTCGAGGATCTGCGAGGCCAGCAGCAGGTCCTTGTTGAGCTGCTCGGCCGCTGCCGTCACGGAGTCCGCCTGCTTGCTGAACAGCCGTCGCTGGTGGACAAAGCGCGTCACGATGGTGTCCACCAGAGCGGACAGCGAGGTGGTGATCTCTGATTTGAGCACGTCGGCCAGTCCCTCCAGGTCCGTGCCGGACATGCGCATCATGGAGCTGTTGTTGCTGTTGCGCAGCATCTGGAATTTCTCGGACAGCTCCGACTTCAGAGCGCTGTGGGCCGCTGCTCCGCCCATTCGCGTGGGCAGGCGGGCGGGCGCCGGGTGGTGCATCTGGGGACGCGGCGCCGAGGTGGCCACGTGCTGCTGCTCCATCTGCTGCTGCTGCAGCTGTTGCAGGTGCTGTTGTTGGCGCTGCATCTGCTGTTGCTGCTCTTCCTTGCGGCGCTGCTGCTCTTGCTGCTCCTGCTCGAAGCGGCGTTGCTGCTCCTGCTGTTGCTGCTGTTGTTGCTGCTGCTGTTGCTGTTGCTGCTCGGCAGCCTCCTTGGCCATGCGAGCCTCCTGCTCGAAGAAGAACTGCTGGTACATGGCGGCCGCATGCGACATATCGCCCATGTGTTGAAGCAGCGGTGGGAATCCTTGGGGCAGGGCGGGATGGCCAACGCCCACCAGTGGATTGTGCATCTTACCGGACATCATCTTGCTCATCATCTGGGAGAGCATGTTGGCGCTGGAGTCACTGCTCTCGCCGAGCACCGTCTTGGGCTTAATGGGCGAGGGCGTGGGCGAGCTTGACCCGGGTCGTTCCTGACCCGCCTCCTCCTTGTGGCCGGGACTCGCGTCTCCGTCCCCGGTCAAGGTGGGTGAGGGCGACAGCTCAATGTGGTCACTGCTGCCATTGTCCGGCTCTTGCTCTTGCTCGTGATCCTGCTCGATATCCTGGTCTTGGTCGAGCTCCTGGCACTCGGACTCCTGCTCCATCCGCGTGCATAGCTGGACGTACTTCTGCTGCATCTCCGCCAGCTGTTCCTGCATGGAGCGCAGCTGCGACTTGAGGGCGTTCTTCTCCACGCGCTTCTGCTGGATCTGTGGGGACTCTAGTTCGTTGGACTCGCTGTCCTCCTGGTCGAGCATCATGCTCTGCAGGTTCAGGCCAAAGTTGAGCCCAGCGGCGGCGGCCACATAGCGCTCCATGGCATGCTGCTGTGGCTGGTAAAGCTTACGCTTCTTGCACCCATTAACCTGGAGCTGTCCGGCCTGGGCCAATCCCGAGGACGGGCTGCAACGCATTCCGGAGACGATGTTCTCGACGCGAGCTCGTTTCAAGTCCATGCCGGGCTTCTTGAGGCACCCGCTGCCGGACTCGCGCTTCTGCTCTACGCAGTCATCGTCGTCGTCGTCGTCCAGGACATCGTCCTTGCTGTTGTCCAGCAGCATCATGTCCGAGTGGCTGGGCGAGGCCAGGCTGTCCAGATCGGATCCTCGCGAGTGGAGGCCCATAAGCTCCACCTCGTCCAGCATGTCGTCCTCGGCCTCCTTCTTGGTGGGCAGCTGTGGCTCCTCTGGGGCCCGGCTCTGGGATCGCTGGCGCGTTTCTGTTGCCTCCTCCTCGTGCTCGGCCTCTTCCGGCGCTCCGTGGCTGTCCAAGGAGTCGGAGGACTTGCGCCGCAGGCTACCATCGCTGGCCAGGCTGCTGTGGCTTCCAATGCCACTTCCGCTCCGGCTGCTGTGGCTGCTACCATGCGGCGATTGCTGCGGCACTGGGGCCGTCTGTGGCTCACTCTTGATCTTGATCTCCGCCATTTCCGAGTCCTCAATTAGGCTAATGCTCTCCATGTTGTTGTTATTATTGTTGGTGGCGGCCACTATATTATTATTGTTATTGTTGTTGTTGTTGAGCTTAGAGTGGAGCTGCTCCTTGTCCTGGAGCTGCTGTTGCTGCTGCTGTTGCATGGCCGTGCGCAGCTCCTGGTCGAGCTGCATCAGCTCCTTCTTGCCCTGCAGGATATTTCGCAGCATATGATGAGCCACCAGGTCGTGCTGCAGCTGTTGCTGCTGCTGGTCACCACTGCTGGCGCCGCCATTTAGCGAGCTAACGGAAGCTGCCCGAGGGGGCGATCCTCCGGCCACATCCGCGGCAGCTGCCTCCATCGAGCGATCACTGCACGCCGACACCCGGCGACTGCCCTTGGGCGAGGAGTGACTGGAGCTGTGGGCCGATCCTGGCGAGATCGAGGCATTGGTGCCATTGCTCATCGGAGCACTGCTTGCCGGTGCAATGCTGTTGTTGTTGTGCTGCTGCTGGAGCAACTTGGACGTGGAGTTGAGGCTGCCGATCAGGAGCTCAGCACTGGTGGCCGTCTCCATGGCGGCGGCCAGCATGGCGTTATCTAGGCTCTGGGGCAGGCCACTCGTGGCGTCCTGGGCCTGCTTCATCTGGCGGCCGAAAAGCTCGTTCAGCATCTTGGCCGAGGAGCCACCGAACAGGTTGCCGAAGGCGGCCGTCAACAAGGACGAGGCGGAACTGGCGCCCGAAACCGAAACCGGCGAGCTGCTCGTGGGCGAGTGGCTTAGCTGAGCGGCGGCTGAGGCGGAAACGGAAGCTGCCGTGGCAATGGCTGGCGCGGATGGGGCCGAGCTGGCCGATTGTGGTTGGAACAGGGCTCCTCCACCAGCGGCACCCGCAGCAGCCGCGGCAGCGCTACTCATGAAGCCAGCAGCGTTGTTGTGGCCGCTGCTGCTGTTACTGTTGTGGCTCTGGTTGCTGCTATTATTGTTGCTACTATTGTTGGTGTCTTTGCTCAAGGATCGCGGACGCGAGCGACGATTCACTTTACTATTTGTCGCGTTTCCGTTTCCGTTGTTGCTACTGTTCGCGCCACCGATATTGTTCGAATTTACGATGCTCGTTACGTTCTTTGCGGCAGTTACTGTGGGTTTTTTAGCCGCGCACGTTGTTGTCTTTCCGAGGGCCGTCGAATGAATGATTTGCCGACTACTGCGGGCACTGCGATGACTGCGACTGCTGCCGCTGACGCTGCCACCACTGCGACTACAGTTGTTCGCCGTTGCCGATGCCTTTGTCGCCGCAGCCGCTGCCTTGATGTTGCTGTTGTTGCTGCTGCTGGCGCTGCTGCTGCTGCTGCTGGCTTCGCAGCCCTCGAGCACGACCACGACGTCGTCGTCGGAATCGTCAGATTCGCCGTCGCTGTCCGCTTTCTCCTTCTCCTTGTGCTTCTTGTGCTGCTGCTGCCTCTGCTCGCGCTCTCGCAGCTCTTTCTCTTCGACGTCTGTGTTGGTGTGGCCTGTGTCAGTATTGGTGCTCGCGCTCTCTCCGCAATTCGCCGCGCTGTCTCCTTCCCCGTTGGTCTGTACTGGTATGGGCGATTTGTGTCCGTTGCTGTTCGGCGGCGGTGGTTGTAGTTGTTGCTTAACCGTTGTCTCCGGCTCCGCGGTTGCCTTCAGCAGCACGTTGTTCTCATCGCTGTACAAACCAAAACAGTCCGCGTCGTACTCCTCTGATGACATCATAAGATGATGCCCACCAGCAGCAGCAGCTCTCTCGCCTCGCCTTGCCTGCTGCTCGCTGCTGTTCCCCGCTTGGCTGCTCTTCTGCGGATTGGTTGGATGTTCTCCCTACCACTTGCCTTCCCCTTCGCCGCAAAGACAGCGAGAGAGTGAGCGAGAGAGCGAGAGGGTTTTCGCCGCGGCGTATGCGTGATTTCAAGTTTAAGTCCTGGCTGGCGGCTCTTGCAAGCCCAAGTAGTGTATGTCCTTATATCCGAGTCCTGTTTCGCTGTGTGCTGCTGCTTGCTGCGTGCTTAGTTCAAAACCTATCCTTTTCTGGCTGCCTGGCCGCGATGTCCTTGCTGATGCTGATGCCCGTTGCTGCCTCAGTTGTTGCTATAGTTGTTGCTGTAGCGCCAAACGTTGAAATTTTGCTGTCGCTCAACTTTCTGGTCGAAATAATGTTCCAGTTCAAAAGTGGTCGTCTCCTTCTGGCCGCTGCTGACAGTCTGTCGCCGATTTTGCGTCTGCGTTTTCTACGTTTTTTTCTGCGTTTTCTAATTGTGAATTTTGTTTTGAATTTTCGTTCCACCACCACACACATGCGAATGTCCTTTGCATTTAATTTTATTTAGCTTTGATTTGTGTTTCCTTGCGTGCTGCTGTTCGTCCTGCAATCTCCGCCAGCTCTGCTCCTATCCTTTCCGCAGCTTTCCTTTGATTTCACTCTCGAAAAGGTGTTTTCTTGCGAAATGGTTTTCGAGATTTCTCGTTTTCGTTTTTTTCGTCGTTTTTCGTTTTGGGTTTTTCGTTTTCGGTTGATTTATTTTGTCGTTTTTTGGTTTTAGTTGGTTTTAGTTGGGTTTTGGTTTGGATTTCGTTTTGAATAATCCTTGCTTGCGCTCAAAAAGTCTTTCTGTAAAATTAATGGTAGGCGTGGGTTAAGTATCTGCTGAATGCTCGGAACAAGGGGGAAGGGTAAGTCGGCACGGAAAGTGAAAGTGGCTGGCCAAAAGCCTTTGGCTTGGGTGCACCACTCGATTGGTGCTCGGTTTGGGGGCTGTGCAGGCAGGGGTGGCTTCTCCCAGTGGTGTCGTCCTTAATTCAGCAGAAGGCGGTGGACACCCTCGAGCCCTCCCACCCCAGACGGGGCTTTATCTAATTTCTCCGCTCGAATGTGTCTGTGTGTATGTACCCGCCCCCTTTCTGCTTTGTGCGGCAACAAATAAAGATAAGTCACTTCGCTTCGTTTTCGCTGATAAACAAGTTTGACTTACTTTCCTCTGTTACAGATAGACAGATACACGGATACAGGCACATACAGAGCCGCAGATACATAGATACTTTGCATATGGCCATGGGTCGAATGCGTAAGCACTCGAAATAATCAATAAGGGAACTTTGGAACTCGCCAAATGCGTCAAAGCATCGACCGTAGTCATCGCCATCGATCACGCCGTCGTGTATCTTTGAGCTCTCGGGGCCATGTGCAGTTCCAAGAACATCGGACCACGGACTAGAATCCTCCCCTTTGATAGACTTCGACTTCAATTATGAGCTTTCTCTGAGAGATTTAATTTTGTGGTAACTCTAAATCCTAAATGCTGATTATTGACAAAAGTAACTAAGGAGGATAGCTTTAATATTCAAAAAAATAGTGCTTAGAATTGTCTTATAGATAGATATACATTCTATGTGAAGCTAAAAATCTCAATTTTATTAAAGATACTAGCTCTATACGGATATGTTTTTGAATTCTTTAAATTTATTTAAAAGAAAAATCTTCTAGTTGACCTTAAGGGAAGCTGATAGTATACAAAAAATTATAATAAAAAGTAATACCTAAATTATACATCGGTTTTCCCAATCTTGTACCATGATCAGAGTTCCAAGAATGTTCCTCAAACCCGAATCCTCCCCGTTTTCATTAAAATTTTATTCGACCTTAACTTCAATTGCGAGTGCAATGGAATGCAGCCCGAGTCAATGTCAATAGAAGCCACCCCTCGCCGTTCTTCGATCATTTTCGGCGACTGTACCTCCGAAGGCTTGCAGCTTGCAAGGATAATTCAGAGAACCGACAAGAACCGACGACCAAGAGGGCGAGAAAAACAGCCACCCCTATGCAGGGCCAACAGGACCTACGGGACCCATTAAGTCGGGCTTGGAAGGGCAGGGAAAATGAGAATTCCTATGCACAGCAGATCGAGATATTGAAAATTGTCAAATTTACCACAAACAAAGCGTTATTTTTCTCTGTCGTCCATCATAGATCCTCCTGGAAAAGAAAAAGAAAATTGTACACTTAATATTTTTGTTATATTCAGAAAGTACAAATTAAATTAATTACTTATGTCCCAAAAGGGTTAATAAATGTAGGTATTTTTTATTATTTGATTACAAGAAATTGCTTAATACTTTTAGTTTTTCTTATATATGTATGTAAATATATTTCCATAGTACTTTTGCGGAGGCGTTTCCTTTTGCTTTGTAAAAGAAAACTATCACTGCCTTATTTTCTATAAAAATAAGAATTTTTTCAATGGAGTTCACAAAATTATATTAAGAAATCATTATTGAAATAATTTTCTGTTTTAGTTCTCTACAAAACACTACCCCAATTCATATGGTCTTTTCCCTGCAATATCATATCATATGCTCAAAATGAAATGCTAAGGCCCACGTGCCCGTATACTTAACTCAAGGAAAACTACCTAATTGCCTTGTTATGGGCACAACCTTTTCTTGAGTAGCGCTTTTCTTAGGCGCTCTTGTATCTATCGCTACGTTAGACAGTTGGCATTCACAAGTTCAATGCACCTCGGGACGTGGGTTTGGTCTAGGAGCGTTATCAATAGAGGTAGCAGGCCTTTCAACTGCAACCCCTCGAGGAGCTGGAACATATGTCGCTGGCAAGGAAAACTAGGACCAAAGAAAGTTGCCAGCTGAGGCGAACTTCCACCTACGAGCGAACAGCAGCGCAGATAATTACGACCTTAACACATTTTTGTTTGTATTTTATGAAAAACGCTGAACGCGGCTTCGCGTACTTTGCATGCGCTGGCAATGAGGGAGGAGCAGCGACGAGGGATGAGTAGGGGCGGGAGTATATCTCAAAGTGTGCTTTGGAATGTGCCTTCACAGATCGCGGCACACGGTAATGTGCTCGTCGGCGCACAAGCGAACGAAGTGTGGCACGGCCATGTGTCTCTCCTCCTCGTGGTCGGGTGTCATCATTAAAATATGCTTTGGCTTGACTCATAAAGGGTCTGGCGGGGGAAGGGGTCGGTGCGGCGGTCACTGTGACACGGTCAAGTGACTTTAAAATCCGTTAAAAACAAAAAGTGTCCCAAAAAGCAAACGAGTGGCAATTAGGCATTATGTGTCCGCTTGAAAGATCCATTTTCCAACATTAAATAGCAATCTGTCGGGCTGAGATTTCGCTTTGATTGGGATCGGAAAATGGGAAATGGAAAATCACGAAACCTACGCGAAACCCTCACAGAATCTGCAGCCCTTATGCCAAAATCGGATGCGGAAGGAAGCGATCGCCAGAGCCAACAGCTGATGATCTCAAATGATTGCTCGCTAGCAGGGGAGAGTGTTTGCTGCACTCGGAAAATTTTGAGAGACTTTGTTAGATTTAATTTAATGGAATATAATAAGTTGACCATTAAAACTCAGCTATTATTGTTAGTTTGTAGAGATAATTAATTCATTTTCTAAAAGATATTTATATTCATAAAATATTTTCAAAGTAAATTTTGCATATATTTTTCATATATTTATTTTCTAAATAAATGTTAATTTTTGTAAGCAAACTTTTCTTTTTTGAGTTCAGTTATCTTTTAAGGTACAGTAGAATTTTGACCAGTGTACGGACTATGGTTATGGCACGAGCGGAGAGCTATGATCGGAGCACACCTGGACTCGCTGTCTATGCCTCAATGCGCGTGCTCACAAGCTGGCGATCGCAGCACGAGGAGGAGTAGGAGGAGGAGGAATAGGAGCTGGAGGAAGAGCAGGAGGCAGAAGGAATCGAAGAAGCGAAGCCAGGCAGACGGAAATAAGGGGCGTGCTCGGCGGTGGTGGTGGTAGTTGACATCCATCGCACCGGGAAGCGATTTTTACCTGATCCCGCTGCTATTTGCCTAACGGGTGGTGCGGCGGAAGTCGTCCGAAGTCGACGACATCGATAAAGTTCAAAAACACCTTTCAACTTGTTTTGGCATTCGAATCCAATGCAGTTGCAGTCCAGCAGCCGGGCAGAAGGGAGCGGGGGGACGAGTCCTAATCCTGCCACAAACACATTAAAATTATGTTGCCGCACAAAGTTTGCTGGCAGAGTTGTTTCCACGACAATTGGCAGCCGGCAACTTTGTGGAGCGAATTGTGCTAAAAGAAAATGTCCTTCTCTACCTTCTCCAGTAGCGGCTGTCTCAGTCAGGGATTTTATGCGAAAAGTTTGCACGGAACTTGCCAAAAGGCAATGCCGCTGGCGGGATTGCAGTGCAGTAAACTCGAATTATTATGATGTCAGGACCCAGCCTCAGTTATTGTTATGACCACTTTTTGGAGGAGGAGCAGGAGGCGCAGGAGTTGGAGCCGGAGGTGCACGCTCCTTGGCTAAGCCCTCGACTGGCAGATAAGATACAGATACTCGAACATGGAAATACTCTCACAGATATCGGGCGTTTGCTCGCCATATGGCGAGTTATAGATACGACGTCCGTGCGATACTTTCGAGTGGAGCCGGGCAAGGTTTTCCCGCTGCACTTAGTCAGGCCGAAGTAGGTTGCCTGGGGCACTCTGTGATTTTTTGGAATTGGGTGTTGGGTGGAGCATACCATAGGAAAAAATATAGAAAAATTAACCTTTAGCAGAGAAGGAGCTTTGGTTTATTAATTTTGAAGTTATTTTGACGTACTAAAATATATTATTTGAAAATGAAAAATAATATAATAAATTTCATTTAAATGTACAGCCTAGTTTTAATGTGGCTTTTCCGGGGTATCCTCCGGGTCTGAACTTAATACGTTGTTCTTGTCCTGCTGTTGTTTTCAGACATAAGCACATTTTGTGGTCGCTGTTTGTCGTGGCTGCGTTGTTGGCTTTTATTGTCTTTCAGCGCTTGATTAGATAGCATACATCGGCGGCA